TCAAGGCCTTGGTCCCGGCAAATCTTGAGGCCAACTCGTCCATGTAACGTTACGGAATAAGAATGCGCTGACGAGATGAGCTGACGATATCGCACTGGTGCTCGCTCAGCGTGAAGAGTGTTAATTACTTGTACTCGCTGTCCGCGCGTGCCAATCAATTGTGCCATTATTCGCCCTACAGATTATCATGGGCGAATCAGAGGGTCTTGAACTTCTCCATCCTAGGCGCTGTTATCTCCTTACCAGTCTTCTTTGCCCTTTCTTTCGGATGGGCCTCTTGCTGTGCTATTTTCAACAAAAGAGAATACGTTACGGGAAGACCTTCTCGTTGGATGAATTCAAGTCTTTAGTGTCGGTCCTATTGATCCAAGTATATACAAGTAAGAGCTTAAGGAAAGCTGCCCAAGACTATTGGTGAAACTGAAAGATACGTTACTAATCATTGCTTACATGTGACTTTATCCATCAACTACAACTGTTCAGCCAAACTTCCAGCCTGAACTACGGCAGGCTGGACTACTTGTTCAAGCCAAATCGTGAACAAGATTCGCTTAGAACCAACAGAAGAAATGATTACCAACACGTGTTGTTCTAGATTCCTCTTTTATTTGAAACACTACCAAAAAGACAACCAAACTTGAGTTGCCTTCAGCCATGAGCTCGTGTTAGATCTTTTAAACACGAATTGGATAATCAAGATAGACCATCGTGTTGCGATATTCTGCTATCGTTGGACTCCGGTGCACATGGCTGGCAATCATGCCTAACTGTTCTGAGATGTGACGTTGGACTAGGCTGGTCTGACTGAATTTGGTGGCAATAGGTGACAAAAAGAACAAATCATTATCCCATACAAACGTGACGCGGCTCTAACAATTAGAGGCTATGTGATGGTTTTTTCAGTCCTTAAAGGCGCAAAAGATCAAACTTAACGGGATCAGGCTTTCAAGGGATAATCACACGATAGCATACGCTTTTTGACTACATGGTACGCCCGATGTATCCCAAGCACGCATTCAACTCAATACTCCCTGATGATTTCAATACAAGAGGCTATGTCATCCGTCGAAAATAGTCAATTAGAGTCCGATTGGCCCATGGCTTCGATTATCTGTAGGCTGACAGTATGACCCCACACAGACCAATGGTTCTTAGCCAGGGCAAATGTTCGCTTCGAACTCCATCTTACTCCTCACCAACTACAAGCTCAAATCTTATCACCTTCCGACCCAAATCGCCACTATCCTAATCATCAGTATGTGGCTCATAAGTGCCCTATTCGAATTCCATGCATAGTCGAAGAGAAAAAAAATGCTATTCTGTCTCATATGTGTAAGATGAAGACTATGTGTCCCATAAGAAAAGCATGCAAAGCCTCACCGTCGCTTTCACAAAAAAGGGGGTCGCGACGATCGCCAAGACGTATGAGATTGCGAAGCAACCTGGCATATATTGGGCCTGGGTGGACACGTGCTGCACCGACAAGAGTAACAGTGCCGAACTGACCGATTCGCTTCCAGGTTGTGCTAGTATTAAGAAGTCGAACTTTGCCACTCGCACCTCTCCGATTCTGTGATGCCATAAGTGGCCGGTAATTAATTGTCAACAGCAGCTGCTACTCGCGTGACGTGAAGGATTGCCGCCGGTTCACTCGGTGATGGGACTTTACAAGAGCCTTTGTTCACCTAATAAGGTAGTCTTCCTTAATAGGTACTGGACAGTCTGTGGCACAAAGGAGTCTATGCGTGGATAGAGATCAGTATTCAATCGTCTTCCCGAAGTGATACTACAAGACTGCACTTTTCTCCCTAAGTTTTCTTAGCATAATGAAGCTGAGAAACTGGGTGGTGTCTCTGAGCAACGATATGAAGGCATCTGTGCGAATTCGTCTTCTGACTTTGGTGGCTGTGCCGATTTTCGTTCTCTATCGGGGTCGATGAACGACTCCGGCGACATTGACATGACCAACAAGAGAGTCGATTGGTCATTAATGGCTGAACACCGCGATAAGCCTCTATGGAGGGCACCCGCACCAACTCTAGCTTGAATCAGACTCGTCTCCATAGTATCGCTCCTAAATGTCGACAACGGCGGTCCACGCACGTGGTCTATTTGCGACGTGAAGTCAGTCGCCCTGATTGGGGAGATTGTTTTCTTATCAGCAAGCTTTCCGAGGGAAAAGTTCCGCTGCAAAGCGAGCGCGAAGGCTTGTCTCTGAAGAATTCCAGGATCCGGCGCATTGCCTCAAAAGATTCTAGTATCACATCCCCAGAACCCTATCCAAACCCACTCCGATGCCATGCTGTCTAGCTTTGAGCATCACTTTTCACAGCTGTACGAAATATGACAGCCACAAACTTGGTCACTCGAGCTCATCGATACTTCACTTCCGTGCGCGTGGAATGGGGTATATCAGCAAACCCAAATTCCCGGTCAACACATAGTTATGACAGGCGTCACTTTCCGGCTTATGCCAGAGAAATTCACGAATTGGATGATCGCGAACAGTGCCTTATTGCACGAACCTTGGGTATGACTGCATTCCAACTTCGCAATGGGACTTGTGCAGGATGGGCATGGCGATTTGAAGACGGGAAAACACCCCCAACTAGCGAAAGCCTTGCTGCCGAAGAATATTTCCCCGCCATCTCGACATCCTTGAGCGACGCCATGGCTAGTCTATCCGAGTCACGTCTGCCGAAAGATGAGAAAGTTGCGCTCTCAGACTGTGACACCTTTCAATCCTCGGGTAGGCCCTTGACGCTCGTCCCCATGTCGACGAGGATGTTTAGCCAACCGAAAACAACTCTACAAAGGAAAGCATTCGTCTTAACAAGAATCGCAGAACAATCTGTGCTGGTCAAAGCGAGGACCAAATCCTCTCCTGATCCGGACAGGATGATTGACCATGAAGTCACAATCCCCGTCACGCCTGCTGCAGCATCTAGTGAAAGCCTGCGGCATATGGAGTACTACCCATTGGGAGCTTGAATAAAGACTAGAACTTGACTAGGGTCCTGACTGAAATGGGTATGAGTGTAAGGCGATAGGATAACGCTGGCACGGGCGAGTTCACTGAAAGAATCTGTTGCAAGCTGCCCTGCTCGAGAGAGCGAGGGGGCTCTCTGCTTATGTATCCATCTCTAGGAAGATAAACCCTTAGAAGCCAGATATACGACGTTTTTCGGCTCTAGTGAACCTACCAAGGATGTCCCGATGTACCCTTCAGCTCGTTATCGAGAGTAAGCGGTTCGTGAAGGCAGCTGATGGACAACCATGTGGAGCTCATGCGAAACCTTGATCTTTGTCATCGTTTCATTCGAAGTTTGTGGAGAGAATGCGAGATGTAGTTCTTGGATCTTTTGTAAATATCTCGTTGTTAACTAAATCATTTCCGTCTCGGCGGCGTGTCGTTGAGCTCGACATATCTAACCAATGGAGACTTGACGTGCCCGGCCAAATATCAGGATCATAGCCTTTCCCACGTGTACTTAACAACATATCGAATTATTTGGTTGCATCCAAAAACGCCTCGGTTTCTAATTGAGCATTCAAGGGGAACCCATTCAGAACAGTTGCGTTAGGCAGCTCCCAATAAGGCCAATAGAACTTAGGTAAATCCGATGTGGGCGGAATACATACAGGATCTGAACTTCGTGAGAATCAAGCTTTCTGCCAAATGCTACTCTGGGAGTAGAACAAGCAAGGTACTATAGACAAGAAGGCGGGATAACTCATTCCGCTTCGTCTTCAACTCCACGAATCCATAATTTCAAGGCGTGATCGTTGCACCTTCCGTTTTCTCATGAATCGAAGCTTAAAAGGGTATTAGGTCGGCGAAAAGCTTTTAGAGTTTCTGTGTCGCTTCCCCGCGATAGAGAAACCGAAGAGCCTAGAATCAGTTCACGACGTGGCGCAATGCGTCTTTTGAGTGTCTGTGACTGCCGTTAGTGCCGTTTGACCGGAGAATCCGGGCCTGCTAATCACCAATCGTTCCCCCTCAGGTTACAGAGTAAGTGCGGTCTAGCACCAAATCTTAATTTTCTGGGAAACCCATCTTCATGTACGGTAAGCCGTAAGGTAAGCTGATGCTTTGGAGAATGATGAGCAATTGTGGAGCAAGGGGGTTTGGGGCTTTCAAGGTTAGTCAAGGTTGTGAGGGTTGTTTGCCAAGGGGCTTGAAGTCCAAGATTCGGCCGGTCAAGCAAACATCCGCGCGCGCGAGATGAACAGCCTCAAGGCTCAACCGGCACGAGACTGTGACATCGCAGCATCCCAACAGCCAACGGACACATTTCAAGACATATCATTCGTCATTCATCTCAAATCCTCATAAATTACCAGATTCCCGGGGCAAACAATCCAATGTTCAGATGGCAGATCGTCACCAGCCATGTCTAGGTTCTTCCTTGGCAGCGAGACTCTTTGCGGCTAGCCCGGTGCCACCAGAACCTTAAACGCTTAATTGAACCGGGGTCTAACTAGCCACAGTAAACCGAGACCGACATTTTGGGTTTTTTGGGGCCGGCGTGCGGGTAGTCGCTCCGCTGTCAGAAATGCCAATTAAGCTCGCTGGTAGGTTGAGAACAAGGGGGTTGGCCAGGGCCCACTTCCATGGGAAACCGAGACCGACGGGCTGATTTGCACTGCCATTTTCCCTCGAGATAGTGACATGACGTTCCAACCACAGCCATTCTAACTGACGCTGGGCGTTTTCTTCGCTATGCTAGCTTTTCCAAACCAATTGCGGATGATGCGGTTCATCATTACACTGGCGTTGGAAAGGCCGTACGCGTATAGAGTAAACTTTCGTGGGCGTGGATAATTCATATAGAAACCTGCATGCCTCCCTCATCCCCTTTGCATCTTGGATATCATAACATCGCAGCATCAAGCTATTCTCAACACCGAAAAGCCTCAGTACTTCGAACCCCTTCTCACCATCAACGAGCGCATCATCACACATCGCCCGCTAAGTAGCACCAATCACCGAAGCAAAGATGGACAAACTCGCCAGTATGCCCCTGTTCGACAATCGGCACATGATGAAGGTCCACATTGTGCAAATCATTGTGATTCACATCGTCATGGGCCTCTCCGGTGCCAGAATATTCCTCAAGGGCGGCCCAGTGACCCGTACAAACACCATGTCTCTAGGTATAGTAAGTACAACCTTTCCCAAATGTTCTCTCCGCAGTCGTCAAGGACATCAGGACGACTCAGACCAATTCTGGCGAAGTTGTCCGATGACGGGAACTGAGGAATGGAGTTTTCTAACGTGAGTAATCACATAGTCTGTAAAATCCATGGTCTTCATCATCTACCAAATCGCAACTCAGCACTGGGCCCGAGGCCGGGGCTGGGCGTCCTTGAAAGCCAACGCCATTCTCAACGGCCTCGAGCCCGTCTTCTGGGGCGCTGTAGTCTTCATGTCCATCCAGGGTAACATCCAGCGCTGCGTCGGCACGAGCTGCATCCTCAGCTGGGTTATTGTCGGATGCGGTATCTTCCTCAAGTAAGTCGTCCATTGGCATGCGAGTTGCCCGCCTCGAGACATGGGAACTGACTGGGATTTCGTTTCATAGCCTTCTCGCCGCATACACCGCCGTCGTATCCTTTGTCGATTTCAAATACTTCCGCCGCACTGGCACGACCCGCGGCGTCTCAGTCGACCGCAAGGCACCGATGCACACCGAGGAGATCACTTCGACTGGTTCTGTTGAGGACCAGGAGATGGCGCAGCCGAGAAGAAAGGCAGAGAGGATGTAAAGAAAGAAGCATCAGCTTCGCCATCCAGGAAACCGAATTTGAACGAGAACGTTCTTGCGCCAACACTATAATGAGCAACGTAGCCGGTCTTGAAGGGATTAAACTTGGGCTGGTGAGGGATTGGTACATAATATTCCAAGGGATTTTGCGTCAAGGGCGGCTGAGGGCACCATGGGGAGAAACTAGAGAGGATTCCAGTTGATGATGCACTGTATTTAGGTGGCGTATTTGGAAAGGAGAGGAATATCAAGGAGACGAATTCAAGGGAAATACCTACTTTAGTAATGATAGACAAGCACACTTCAGTCTAAACTATTTCCTGAGATCTCGCAAGTCGACAACTAACTTATGAGCACTGATAACAATGACAGAATCCACAGACAGCTTTGCTCTGTTGAGTCCTCAAGATTCCTCCCAGTCAAACAAATCCTGGAGAGTCACTTCACACTTCAAGAGACGGAGACTCGAAAGCATCTGCAAAACGACAATAAACACGACTCCCACAACAAAGATGAACCTTCAATTTCCTTCACGCAGTAAGATGTCAAGCCAAAAGCAACACCGCATCTTTCCAAATCCGCATAAGCCACCAAGTGCTCCCTGGCGGCCCCCACGCGAAGATCAGACGACGGACGCCCCCAATCCTCCGCTCGCACCAATACTCCAGACGATCAAACCAACAAACTAAGCCAATCGCAACACATCAACCACCTCAAGCATCAGACGATTCCAACCTCGACTCTGTCCGAACATCAGACGGAGCGTGCTTCAGCCTGACAGCCCGATCTTAATCTGTCCCGTCACCATTCTAGAACCACGTACCAAAGTTTTAGGTAGACAGTCCAAAAAGACATCATCACACCATGCTGATTGATTACCAGACTGTCAAATACACACAATGATGCAACATACTCATAGCCATGACTCCGTGGATCACAATCTCAAAGCTCCCCTGGTCCATGAAGCCTCCTTTCCGTAGGGCGACAAGGCATCGCAACTCTATGTATGTTCCTCAAGCCGTCTGCTCTCCCCATCAGCCAAGACAAAGCCCACCTCGCGCAAATCCCCGCCCTGAAACTGAGAGACCCTCCATCCCTCCCCGATCCCATCCCATCCACGCATAACGCCTCAGGCCCTCATCTCCCTCGACCAGGACCACGCTACATCCTCGTGCTTCAAATACAAGACAAAAGAAACAAGCAAACCGCGACACCCTTGAGTTTCTCGTGCTTTCCAATCAGCAAATGTATTCAGGTTTTGGCATGGACTCATAAGAAGCAATAATGAACGTGGTCCTCCATTACTCGTGTTTCCCCCCTCCCCCTTTGCCAAGTCGACTGGTAGACTATATAGAATCATCTTTTATGCTTCACAAGGTTCGCCGGCTTCCCAGTTTCTTCCCTCTCTTCGTCCCGCATCTTCACTCTCAACTTCACTCGTCTCTCATCATTTACCCCCCGCCGCCGGCCCTCCGACGCACTACTTGCCACCGAATCTGGTGGTATCTCCAACAAAAGAAAGTCGTGGGACAATTTCGTTCCGTTTGTAGGTACCCGCAGACATCCGAGTCTGTCCTGGGCCCCCTACTGAGTCCGACTCAGCCAGACACAACATTTAATATCTCACTCACTCCCTTCATCCGTCTTTGACTCGTTATTCCATCATTCCCAATCATTACTCGAAAACATCACACATCCACACAGCCCCTAATCCGTGTCAAAGAAGCTCCCAGTCCTCTTCAACATACTCAAATCAACCAGACCCATGACGTGCCCGTCCATTCTCCTCACCTGCTCGTCGTACAACCACCACGTGCAACAGACCGCGATCGCGACCAAGATCTGGGCGACGCCGAGGCCGATGACGGTTGACTTCAAGCCAGCCCACATGACAATGGCATTGGGAATCGTCATGACAAAGATGCCAGCGAACAAGTTCCTCCAGCACGTCACGCCGGCATTCATATCGGCCACGTTCCGCAGGCACACGTTCATATTAGACGAGGTGAACTGCGTCGAGCGCCATATGATGGGACGGATGGCGGTGTCGACAACCGTCACACCTGCCGCCAAGAAACCCAGTAAGAAAGACAGAAGAGGGAAGGAGAGATGTGCGCCGACGCCATCCAACTTGAAGACGCTGGCGGGATCCTCATCAGCCACCTCGGACATGACGGCGTGTGTCTTGAGCCCAAACGCAAGAATGCCAGTAGCCGCGAGGACAGTTCCTCCGGCCAAGGTGCAAAAGGTGTGGTAGGGGGAGTATCCAACATGTCGTTTTTGATAAACAGCAAGGCCGGTAGCGGTGAGTATCGAGAAAATAAAGGGCGCTGCCATGAGCGACCCGATGCTGTTCTCTCGGAGCATCCATGGCATGGGGAAGAAGAGAAGCGACAGGGATTCCGTCAAGCTCCACAGCGCACAGTACGGAATGAAGGTGATGACGAAGAGCAGCAGGGTCGTGGGCGCGACGAAAGCGCGCGGGGCCTGGAGAAGCGTCCGGACATCCGTCATACCGGAGAAAGATACAGGCTTCATGGTACGCAGGTAAGCCTTGACTTCCTCGACGGAAGGCTTTCCGAGCGGCTTTGGAGGCTTCGACATCCACGACACCCCGGAAGCAGGGGTTTGGGCGACGCTGCTACTAGACCATCGATCGTAAGCCGTTTCGGGAGCCCCGAAAAGGATCAGCGGTATGGCAATGATCTGAAAGGCATTGATGATGTCGAATTGAATGGTGAACCGGCCCGCGTTGAACGAAGCTAGACCTCCGAACAGAGGGGCACCCCAGGTCGTTGAAATTGAAAGAACGTGATACATCGTGATGCGAGCGCTACGTTCATGTTCCTAGATGGACGTTAGTGAATGGTTATGCCAACAGCATTGTGCCAAGGCAACCCATTCAGCCGACTCACAAAGTACGTGTCCTGTATTGAACCGAGAACAAGTGTATCAAAGGCACCCCAGCCGAGGCCCTGGAAGACGCGCGCTCCCATGCACTGCCCAAAGCTGTTGCCCGCACGCATGTTCCAGATCGCGCCGATGAAGATTAACACCACCGAGATCAAATAGACCGGCCTCTTACCCCATATCTTAGACACTGCCAGACTGATGAGACCTGTGAAGGCAGATAGGACGAGTGGTACGGCAGTCAAAGATGCCACTGCTGTATAAGAGACATTAAATCTGACGGCGAGAACACTATTGACGCTCATGTATGCCGTCTTCATCCCTCCGATCAGGCCCATAGTCATTAGTAGAGCGACGAAATTGAGTTCCTTTTTCCATTGCGGCCAGTTCTGTGACAAGGCTGGTCAGTCTCCGCCCACTGTGAGATGCTGGAAGGCACCTACCAACGGATCCTCTGGGTCATCGTTTGGCTGAGGACTCAGTTCTGTTTGCGAGTGTCTTCCGGTCCCGTACTTGATCTTCCGCTGACTCATTGTCGTCGAGAAGGACAGGCGCTTCGTCGAACTTGTCATCGGTCGTGCGGACTCGTCTTTTGGGGGCGGTGGTGGCGGTCTCGCGAACGACATCCTCCTCGGGGCCTTCTCCGGTGCAGCATGGCTCTCTTCTGGCCGCGCTGGATCAAATTCGCCCTTTTCCATATCCCTCTCCATCATTCCCGATTGCTGAATTTCCCGTCGGGGGTTCGTTGTCGCACAAATGGAGCCCAGCTCCGGTAAAACTAAAAACTGAACCAGCAGTGAGGATAGAAGAGAAGTAAAGGCGGGGAAAAGCGAAGGTTACGGCCAGTCAATGAAGTACATGTATGGATGAAGAAACAAAAAAAAAAAAATAGAGGGAGGGTCTAAAAGAGAATATGGTTAATTAGATTAGATATCAGACGATCGGGTCATCTACGCAACTAAGCCGATACAAAGTCTCATTCATGATAAAAGATGGAAAACTACAGTCAATGTCTGGCCTTCGTGGAGGAAAAGAACTGTCAACAGGGACTCGAGTTTCTGACCGGCTGCAAGCGACATGATGCAACATCACGGGCCCTGGGCATGACAGGCCCCCGACATGTGTGTCTTTATGGATACCAGATGTCGTGAAAACGGCGATGGCCAGGAGTTCGGCCTGGTCTTCCGCGCCATCATTGGACGAGACATGGTTGCAAGGATGCCGAGCCCTGTCAAAACGGCCCCCGTCCGATGCGTGCTTGGACCACCGCCGGCCTGGGCAGACGACGCGCTGAAACCTTCCTGATGCCAGTTCTGTCTCTTGCACCTTTTCTTTGGACCTGGCTCTATTGTTTCGCCGGCCAGGTATCATATTGCGTGGAAATAATGTCGACTATGAGAGTAAAAGCACAGGGAGGACGGCTCGGTCTCTGGTGCTCGATGTCGGCCGACATCTTCGTGGCGCATGGGGTGGCCAATGTCCAGTCAAGATTAATTGAAATCAAAGTTGGTCGATCGCGAGTCGCAGGAGCTGACAGACCCATGACACCAGATGACGACCAGCATAGTTCGGCTCTTTTCTCCGTCCCCATTCCGTTTTGACTTTTTGACAGATGGTCAACGGTTGACGCGCGTTCAATCGATTGCAACTTCGGGGCGAAAGCTGCGCTCGTGTAGCCCGGCGCAGCTTCAATTGAAGCATCCATTTCGCTTGAGCTGATGATGATATGTTATTGCGAATAACCCGCTTGCCATGGCCACGACCAGTTCCAGGCGGCCTTTCGCACTCAGGGCCTGCCATCTAGTGTGGCCAATATTCCGAGACCACGGTGTGGCATCAGCATAATTGAGGCTCTTCCTTTTGGAACAGAACGCACTAACCGAGCCATTGTCCAAGTTAAATTTGTTGTTTCTTTGGGGCCGGGCTCGGTAAATTGGCCCGCTGGCCATGGGTCGGAGGAGAACCCCTTCGTTGCAGGCCGTTTCGCAAACCACCAAAGAACAAGGATCCTTGTCAGACTGCGCAGAGTCATACCCGCGGCTCTTGCTGCTGGCGTCAGCGTTGAATTGGCCTCGGAGAGAGCGCGTCTTTCCGGCTCCGTACAACCGCGAATGTATTTTGCGACCAAAGAAGCCGGCTTCGTCAGGTGCCGCCAATGATTCCGTGCAGAGCTGTACGAGTGCAATGGAGTTGCCGGCGTTGAATGCTGTAAGCTGAACTCAGACTCGCAGACCCTCTACCACCGCTGAATCAATATCGCACCACATACTCCGCGCTGCAGGCGTCGATCTTCTGATCAATGACTTTGGCATCATGTCGGCGGGATCAACCTGGCGAGAACGTACTTGCGGCTAGCGGGATCGACCGCCTCAACGGCCGGCAAGCGGATGACTAACTCATATTCCTCGTTGTTTGTCTGCCCTATTGCCCCTCTTCCACAGCGCTCTGCTGGAGCATTGCCCCCGCAGCGACGATCATACATGGAGCGGTCGGATGTGTATGGAGTGTCATCCAAGGGGAAATCCACCAGATTCTGGTGTGCGCCTGTTCAATTCAACATCCCGAGTGGCCTTGGCAATTATCTCGTCAAGGTCGTGGAACTCTATGTCGTTATGTATATCCTCAAAAACCACGCATCCCTCTTGTCTATCCGCATCCCCGCTGTTGGCCTTTGCGGTGCAACGCCGTCTAGACCGAATTCGCCGAAACGCCATTGCCAAATGCCATAGTGTATCTGTCCCCGCGACGGAATGATTCTAGTCAATGTTGGTCGCCCTTCCTCCCCCATTATGCCAGGCGCATGACGATGTGTCCAAGATGCTGAAACGTCGATTCTTTTGTATCCAATGCATGCAACTCATGCAATGCGTGGCTGGCCTTGCGACCTCGACGAGAGACAAGCGACGTGTTTCGCTCTCCGGCGGCCCCGAAATATCTGTTCAGTTCGTTTTTTGATCTGTTCCTTGTGCATGGACAGAATGTGACAGCCAGTCACTGATGTAAAGTTTGCCGGGGTCCTGACATGACGACTTTCTTCACATGACAGCAACCGCTTGAGGCTGGAATGGTCGCATAGCGGGTGCCATCAAGACGGTTTTTACTGCATGGGCACTCTTCGCGTCGAGCTGCATGACAAAACCTATGAAGAGGACGGCAAAGTCAGCAAAGTGGTCTAGAAGAGTCGGAAGAGATGTGATAGTGGTATGGGTATTCTGACGCTGGATGTTCGTCTTCACCAAGGTGGCCGCTACTGAGTAGCCAAGTTCTGGGAGGCGTTCCATCCTAGGAAGAATAGGCGGCGACAACGTTGACCGAGCCAATACCGATCTGCGAGGACTTGGCCCACTTGCTTGCACTTCTCGAAACTTTTCGATGTTGATGTTGCGAGTTGAGCTCGTCGACACTGCGCGCCCTGGGGTAGTCGTGGGTGTTGTGTTTAACCGGCCCGGTCTTGGCCGGACGGAAGAAACTTTCATGAAGCTATGATGGCTGATTTACCTGAGTCGACAACTTCTTGGACTGCTGATTTCTCCATCGCCAGCAGTACTTGGCTTGTGCGAACCAGTAACTCTAGTGTCATAGTTAGTCGCTTGCCGCTTGCCTGCCACATGGGTCTGGACATGGTGATCTTACCTTGGTAGTGCAGAGAGTAGGCGACAGGAGCATCCTCGTCCAATCCGCGGTAGACAGGTAGACGCTCCTTGGTGATATCGGTAACGCTGAATCGCAATCCGACATTCTTCGTAGCGTCGGCCCACAAGATGGTGCTCTCGTCGATTGGTCCTTGCCCTGCTGGGCAAATGGCTGTCCTGGCGGCCGCCTTTGCTAGCCAGTGTCTCCAGACGCGTACCACGCCATTCTCAATATTGCTGTGGCTAGCGAGAAGACCAGGGTTCGGACCTGACTTGACCAAGCTAGTTGTTGTGCAAAGTTGAGAGAAGAGCTCTCCGTCATCCAGGATGAGTTCTTGGACAACTGGCTGGTCGCCGATTTCTTGCTCGAGTGGGGCGCCCGGCATCCGTCGACCAAACACTCTCCGCATGCGTCGCGTCTCTTCGGAGACGACCGGGCGGAAGTGGGAGTAAAGGTGGGAGAGATCACGCAAGTCCATATCTTCCTCGCCGGTCCACTGGTATCCCAGGAAGTCAACGCCTGCAAATCTACACGTCATTGACGGTGTTGAGTTCCTGGCACTTGGGTGGTAGCTCTCCAGCATCACCTCGTGTCCTTCCATCTTCGCGGTATGAAGGAGGCGGTGTTGCAGTATTGTGGTGGCGGTACCATTGAAGCGGCGATCGACGGTCGTTAATGGCAGCAGCTCGCGAGATTCAAAGGTGGATAGGATCGCAATGAGAAGCTGTTCAGGGCAGAGGTAGTTAGCGGGAGTGTAGCATAAGAGTGTTGGCGCTCTGCTGTGATGGGCAACGGCAGGTGCTTACCTCATTGGGTAATGAGTCGATTGGTGTTGTTAGAGTTAGACCAGACATGTTGGTCGTCGTAGTTTGATGGCAAAGATGTAAGATGATTGTAGTAGTGTAGTTGCTATGTCAAGCTAAGGCTCGTGCCATTTAGGAACGACCGGAATAATGCCCCGAGGACATGTCGAGGCAGGTCATATTTAAGTAACTGTCGATGAGTCCGAAGCAATGTCGAAAAGGGGGGTGTATGCTGAGATTGCGAGGGGTGGCTAGAGAGATTGGTCGGATTCGAGGTGAAGGTATCTTGAAGAGACAGGCCGATAAGGTGGAGATGCCGAAAGGCAGGGCAAAAAGTGTATCCTCACGGATCAGTAACCAATTGACGCGGACCCTGCCAGGAACGAAGATCCTGTCCGTGGATAGGGGACGCGATGACGAGGGTGTGTCTGCAGATTAGGGTCTTTGTGGCGCGATTGATACTGATGTGATGGTCGTGCTTTTGGTGCAAATCATCGGCGCGAAGTGGCTGATGATGCAAGGTTGATGGTCGCGGGAGCGTCGAAAACAAAGTGGATGCGGTGACATGTCGGCCAAAAAGTTGGATGATTCGAGACAGGGAACTGGGCCTGTCAACCTTCAAGGCCCATGAATGAGTGGAGAATGCCGGGCCGTTACGGGCCTGACATTATCCGGTGTAATGTCCGTCCGGCCAGTTATCGCCTGCCCGGTGTCGGTCAGTGTCGGTGAGTCTCTGAAGTGGCTCTTTCCGTTGGACAATGGCGACCAGGGCAGCCTTCCGAGTGGCTCCTATCGTGATGGCAAGTGTGGCTGGATGACTAAGGAGTACCTCATGCGCCACGCCCGATTTGAACAAGCGTGTCTACGAAGCGAGAGATCCTGCTGCACCGCTTTTTCTCTCGCTTCTGCGGGCACTTTCCTCGCCAACATCCACCCGGCAGAGACAGTGGAGGTCAGCAGTACCTGTTCTCAATCAGAATAAACCAGTTGTCGACACTGTTATCTTTGAGGTCTAAGATTGTTCCATAATCGACTCATTCTTCCCAGATACGAAAGTTGCAATCGCCTGCGCCTCCAAGCTCAAAGCGACGAAAACGAAAACAAGAAGCCTTGACCAGCTCGATGCCCGGCATTGACCGTCATCTACCGGTTTTGTCCGACTCCCAGGATAACATCATGATCACCCCATCCGAACTGTCTTACGAGCCTCTCGAGTCAGAACCCACTTTCGCACTACTCAATAAACAGGCGGTGGGAGCCTCAATCTCGGGATTCGTCCTAGCTTCGCAGTTCAGGTCCAGACCTTCCAGCCCTGCACGCCCTGTAAGAACCTGGCATGCGTCACGAATGCTTTACTTTCTCTCCGAGTTATGAGCGAACAAGGTCCCAAATTCCTTCTCGAAGAACGCCTGGGCCATGTACACGCCCACCAAGGCCCCACACGCCCCTGCTTCCCGTCGCGCCTGTTTCTGTCGTTTCCTTGTCCGGCCCGCCGAGATAACAACGCGCATGGCGTGACATGCCGTTACCTACTGCGCCGTCGTGGGGCCGATCAATCCTGATTCAGCCGAAGCTCAGGAACGGAGTACACTGCTAGGGGTTTTGAGGCTGAGATACATATGCAGAATGGTTCCCAAAACACATGCGCTTGTTTCTTGTTATCATTGTCCCACCACGTATGATACATACATTGACAACTCGCGCGAGAAGGAGATGATGTAGAAGAGGGGCAAGGGAAATTTCTTCTTCTTCCAGGTCACTCAGTCTTCTTCGTCACATGATCGACGCCATGACCCTGCCGTCGGATCGTAACGCTTTATCAACTCAGCATCTTCTCCGATTGGAGTGCATCGTCACATTACACGATTTCACGCTTCTCAACCACCTGCATCCTTACGCGGGAGTGAGAGCAGGACTCAGCGCGACTGTAGGGCTCTGAATAGCAACCTGGACGTCGGGGGCATGTCGGGCTATGCGCGTCGGAGAAGTAGATACTAGACGCCAGCCTAAAATATGCTGCTTCCGTCCGCGACCCATCTTTCTACGGCCCCCCACATGTCGATAGATTGTCTTGGATTAATCACAAAACTCTTGAGTAGATGGACAAACAATCGGTGCAGCTCTCGCAAGGCTAAGGGTGCAAGGAATCGAGCCACACCAGGCTTCAACTTTGCGCGGAGGCTGGGACCTCGTTCCGAAGTAGATGGCCGCCTGGCGTGATCTAATCGTCGACCTCGTCGTGCGACAGTCGGTGTTGAGCAATTGCAGGTCTAGTTCCATCTTGGTGCTTCTGTCGTCGTCCACATAGATCTCGAGAAGTCAGCACAGCGGTATAGTTACCTTCGATGGCGTCCACACTGCACCATCGGCGACCCAGGTTGACGGTCCTTCTCTATCGACATCGCACCGTGAGCTGTGTTCCTGCATCTACATGGTGCTAGGTGACGGGCAACGCTAGTAGGCGGTGTCGTTTGGAGAGGTTTCCGCCGCGTCTTGTCTGTTGGTTGCCGTCATTTCAACGGGGCGTCGCTGAACGGAGGTTTTGCTTGATTATGCGGTCAAGCAATCATGACCTATCCAAAGCGATTGCGAAGCCACGTTGCCCGCGGATGCCGCAATGATGGTGACGATCGCATGGGCAGTAAAGGCTTCCGATAGTTAGTGCCGGGAGTGAACATCCTCGGATTCTTGCCCTCAACGCTGGCATAGGAGCGTATGGCCAACATTATGAGAGCAATTCCCTCAACCTCTCGATGGTCGTCAGGGATACGCATATCTCCTCGTGCACTTTGAGAAGCTCCTTGAACCTGAGCTACCCTAGGTCAGCTCTCCAACTTCGTATCTTCTACCACTGAGCCCATACTTAGGTGTAGACAGCCCAGCATCGTTTTTGTGTCATCCTTATGCATATCGACGCCGGATAGGAAGTAAGGGAAACATTCACAACCCTCAGGCTTAGGTATCCTCCAAAACCTGCCCACCCAAATTTTCTCCTGCCATCCAGATGTCGACGGGCTGGATTAGAGTTTCAGATATTGAGGCACCTTCTTGCCTTGGCGATCTTATTCACCTAAGGCAGCAGATACCTCAGAATGCACCCTCCTATGATACACTACACCGGGAGGTACCTCTAGGTAACACGACGCTACCAGGCGAGTTGATGCGTCACATCACGCCCGTTGGGTGACAATCTTTCCGCTAGATGGTCACGTGCTTCCTCGTCTAGATCAATTTCAATGGAACCAGGGAAAGAACAGGGTCGCCTGCCTTCCGGCGGGACCCACACCCCGTGCGCGGGCACCCGTGATTGTCATGGCTCCACCCCGGTCGCCCAAGGACCCCCATTTCCCTCTCCTCAACTTCACCTCCCAGAAGAGAAAAATCGACTCTCGTTTGTGAACATCATCTCACTGCAATCGACTGCTCCTCATCGCGTCCAACCCGACGTCACCAACTCGCACAATATCATTTCCCACCATCAAGGTCAATCGGCACTAACCCTATCCAGTGGCGCAAACGGGCACCCTCCTGAGTGCTGAGTCACCTCTCATACCTTTCTCCGAACACGCAGCGAACACGGATACCTACCTAAGATGTCTTGAGTCCCTACACATCCTTCACTCATTCATACCTCCCGCCTTTCATTCGCAGCTCGCTCTTCATTCCTCAATTGATGAGAGCGCCTCATCAAACCTACCTAGTCTTGGGCGCATTAGCGACGCGCAGTTTGCCTTTGTCTGACATGGCACCTCTCTCAGATGATGAGGTGCTCGAGAGCACCGTGCATAATGCCAGTTTCAACGCCACCTTGGACGCTACAAACGCATCAGACTCATCAACTACTGAGGCCATGGCCTCTCATTTTTCGCCAACACCTCCATCCAGTCCGGAAATCCTACGTGCCCGGATACGCAACCCGGCCACATCTGACAGCACTGAATCCAAGGCCCCCCAAGGGCTGCTCTCACCGCCGAAGGATAGCAGCAACCTCAGGTCCGAGAGAAATTCAAAAGAATCCCTGCCGATCGTGTTTCCCGTCACTCTAGCGACCTTGCCGGAAAAGATCGTCTTGCATATTGTTGATAGTGTCTTTGAACGCTACGACACCGATCTCCGCGCAGGATACAACGAAGATGAGGTAGTCTACGAGCCACACTTCGAGGTCACAGAAGTCAAATTCCATAGGTTCGATGTTTGGAGAGACATCGCTCATCTTGCATCGACCTGCAAAAGATTGAACGAAATCATCACGCCCATTCTCTACACAGAAGACATCGAACAAAATGATTCTTCGTGCTTACTACTATCGGCAAAGAGAAGAAATCTTCCTGGAATTCAACAATCTTTGCTTTATGGTGCCGATGTCAATACGGAAGACTGCACAGAGTTTCAGCTCGAGGATGGGGACTACCACTGTGTCACTCGCGTACCAGTGCTAGTCGGCCTGACATCCCTGCACTGGTCTGCATATTGCCGACACTCCGCGGCATTGCAATTACTTTTGGATCATGGCGCCGATGTCAATCTTGAAACCAGTATAGCAACTTCTTGGGGCGACCGTAGATTCGTGACTCGTCCCCTTGCAAATTTCTTCTGGAAATTTGACGAAGAGTCGTTTGACATCCCGCTTGGTGCACGATATCTGCTCAGGAATGAGGTTGAGGCTGGAGCAAACGCGCTTTACTTTGCTTTGATGGAAGTAAAAGATAGCCCATGCTCCGACAATCGTCACGAGGCACGCGTTGCTGCCACAAAACTTCTCATTGAGGCCGGCGCATCACTCATTACACACCGCGGCACTGATCTCCATGCGCTACACCAGGCATGCAGCAATTGGGACTTGGAGACCGCTCGAATTCTCCTGGAAAGCAAGCTGGTGAAGCACGATGTCAGAGATGCCCTTGGCAACACCCCGCTGCATTACCTTGTGATGGAAAATCCAAGTTCCGTCGGTCACACTGACCCGGTGCCACTCATCCAACTCCTCGAAAAGCATGGCGCGGATGCCAACGCGAGGAATGCGGCTGGCTGCTCACCGCTACAATGTATCACAGACAAATCAACTCTTTGCTATGCCAACATTGCGATTGCACTGCTAGACATGGGTGCGCACGTATCACCGGACACCGTCTCGTCACTACAGCGCATCGGAGTAGCAGTAGGTGGGGAGGCCAAGCTGAAGCTCGAGGCGGCCGTTGCCGCTGCGAACAGAAAAGCTTGCGGCATAGATGAACCGTCGGACATACTGCTGCCAGAGGAAAGACGAGAGAACGAGAGGCTTGCGGTCCATGCATGGATGTACAAACGATGGGTACTCCGACGCGACGGCGGTAATGATATTGAGGAGATGTTTGTGGGAGAGGGCACGAAAAATCGGACACTCAATGAGTGGAATGCCTTTTGGCGATCAACAGTAGCCTAGAGCAGTAGACCCTTATAGCATCAATTCTTACATCAATTCTTACATCATGAAACCTTGACAGTTCTGTGAAGAGTGCGGCCTTTCGTCACAAAAGTGATCCTTCGTATGCCAAAATGCCTTACTTTTTCTCTTCACATGTCTCTAAAATTGTCCTAGTAGACCAAGATATAAGAAAAGCAGGCGCACCGGGCGTCAAATTAACATAGAAACTGCATGACGCAACTACAGGAGGCAGGATCTTATGTACCTGGGGCCCACGCCCCCATTGACTGATATTAAGCCGGCAAGAGGAACAACCTCTGCCCTGGCCCCCTCCCTCCAGGCGTTTTCCTAACGGCAAGTTTGGCGATGAAGCGTCATTGTTTGTCTCAAAGAGAGAAATGACTCTCACTGGCAGGCAACATGGCATGGCAGGCTGCATTTCGCTCGCTGAAACAGCTTGAAAGCAAACGAGAGTCGTTCTGGCTCAGGCTACTCTGGGCGGTCAAAGACTGGGCTGGACCCCGTGACTGCCTGGGCGGTCATCCGGACTTCAGACCACCTTCGCTCACCTGGTGCCTTCCACGAAATAGTATATCTTCTCGGTCATTTCCCCCAAATCCTACCTCCGTTGTAAACTTTCCTTTCCGCCCCATCATACTCACTCAAACATCTCGACAACCACGACGCGCACGTCAAGGATTTGAGTCTTCATAGGAAGCCGCTGGTAGGTCCATGTTACTATTCACCAGTTAATATCTTCGCTCGCGCTGATGATGTATTCCTCACACATCAGGTACAAAGCAGTGGTGCCCTTCTGAGGCCTCAGCTCTCAAGCGACAAGTCCCCGCAAAGTTGACTGGTTTTCCGCCTGTCAGTCTCTTCATCGACAACCCCCTCATCTCCGAACAAGGGAATCAAGGTGGGTTGATGTCTTCATCCTCTGGTTCATAACTTATAGCTAATTCTTCTACAATTCCAGACTCCGGACCTGTTGCCGTTTGTCCATCCAGCTTTCCATCTCACTTCTACCACTTTCGTCTCAACGACACCTTCAGATTGCATCTGTCACCCTGTGTCAAGGACTCATTGATCGCAATCGGATCAAGACTATCAAGCACCCGTCATTGCAGGCCTTAGGTAAGAAGCCACACCCAATCATCACCAGCTTCTCTGACAAGGTCAACGAACGCAGTACACGGTTTCCTTGACCCGGTTATCAAGATTGCCTTTCAAAGAGCACCGAGCCTGTGCCTACGACCCTTCCCTTCCCGCCAACAATTCCCTGAATCGTCAACTCTTCAACTGCCCCATCGCCATGGATCCTTCAATTCAGTTTGCCAAGACTGGAGCTGTGCCTACTCGCGAGGACATACTTGCGTTCCGTAGAGCTACCTGGCTCCTCGCCCGATTCAAGGCAGTCAACAGTGCCCACGGGACCACCCTACGTCTGCAGGAGCACCAGACGATTGCACAATCTTTCGAGGGCTCTGCGGAAGAACGTCGTTTCATTCGGAAGCAATACGAATTCCTTGACTGTCTTGCGGGAATACTCGTCCGCAATACCGAGGTGCTGGCGCTGATCCCCAGTTCCGACGGAGTATCGCATACGAATACGAAGGGGAAAGGGAAAGCCGAAGAGAAGTCAAAGAACGTCGTCTACCTGTCAACGAACCCCCGCTTTGAAGACCATCCGATCGCCCGCGACATCGTAGGAGCTCAAGGGCCAGCGCTACTTGTTGACTTCGACACGACGGCGGTCGACAACTTCGACTTTAACTACCGTGATGGTGCGACGGGTTTCATTCATGACAAGTGGGCAAGGATGAATGTCAAGGAAATTGCCAGCGGCCAGCATTTTATTGAATGCTGTCTCCTCATCATCCGGATGCTCAAGCAATACTTTTCCGAAAAAGACAGGGTCAAGAAAGAAAAGATGTCTGCAGGCCTGAAGGATTTCATCTATCTCTCATCTCAGAGCAAGATTCGTCGTCGCTTCGAGGGTGGCACCATTTTCAGAAATTACGTCGCTTTTCTCGCAATGCCGGTCTCAAACTTAGCGCAGCTCCACCAAGGAAAGCTTCAGCCCGGTGCCAGTGCCTCCACTCCATCAGCAGGAACACCACTGTCAGTCGCTGAAGTCAAGACTCAGGCTGCCCTCGATGACAAGAACCTGGATCATCTTCCGCTTCCTTTCTTGACAGGCGGTCGGCAGTTGACCACAACAGCGCTGAACCAAAAGTTTCGCATGGGTCAGACATCCAAGCAAGCGGGGGCACTGAGGGCTGTCTATAAGGAGGCGGTTGGCTGGCGTCAGGATCAGGTTGGGAGAAATAAGCAGGAGCACGGTTGTACCCTTCCTCTGTTTCATACGTGGGAGACAAGCCCGTTGAATGCCCGCGAGCAGTCAGCATATGTCTTTTACGACGTCAAGGGCCGTAACGAGATGCAGCGCATTATGGCTAGCATTTTTCTAGCCCTCCAGTTCTACCAGGAACGGTTCAAAGGGACCCAGAACTTTGTCAACAGTATCACGATGAAGCGCAAGGTTTCGAGGGAGGACGCTATCCTGAAGTGCAAAGCTGCCAGCGACGATCTGCAGCGCGCATACTTCGTACTTGCCGGAATCCGGCGAGAGTTCCGCGAAGTGCTGGACTCGCACTTTCAATGGCTCCAGTTCTTGACAGGTGTCACCACGACGCATGTACAAGGCCGAGGGTTCAGTTCGCGTCCTACTCCTACTGCCGATTCCCCGAACCCTGCCCAGAACAAAATGGCAATCTATGCAGAGCGCGGAACAGGCCCCGATGGCGCGCCTTTGTGGAGTTCACCACCTCTACCCAAGGGCAACAATCCCCCTGCCACGCCAATCCGTGGATCAGGCAGTGCTCGCCAGGAACCGCCAACTCCTGGCCTCAGCAAGGGGTTCAGCAAACTCAACTTCTCAAGTGATGCTGGAGACACCGATGAAATCTTGGAGACTGAGCTTCTCTCTTTCGACAACGATGCCAGGGTTCACGGCTGGAATGTTGCAGCCGCACAGTATCTTGGCAGTCTTTGCCGTCTCTACGATTCCCTGCTATTTCTCTTGGAGAGTGATAAAACAGTCATTGAGCATTTTCTAGCGACTGACTTTCAACCTCTCAAGACTTACCCACGCTACCAAGACAAGGAGATCGCCGATCTTCGGGGGTTCCTGGAGACTTTTGAACTTGCGGAAGGCGAGACGATGCCACAGCATCTTGTGACGAAATGGGTCGAGTATCTCGCAGATGCAGGGCACAACACGTTCTCGGGCACTTGGCACGCCGAGGCAACAATCCTCAGCCTGCATCTTCTTGAAAAGGACCGGGCTCGCATGGTGGACGCCAATGTCGTGGCGGGGAGCAGCGATGCTGAGGAAGCGTGCCAATTACCCGCGGCAGGTTTGACGAGACTTTTCCGATCGTTGGGGGCTCCTATGGCTGTGAACAAAAGATGCTGCCCGGTGTGTTACTTCCTCGTGGAGTATATCCAGAAGACGGAAAACACCAAGTTCCTCTTTGAGGGGGCTCACTCAGACTGGTCGGCGACGACGCTTTCCCCTTGGATCCCGAAGAAGGCATTCGATGCGATCTATCATCAAGTCCTGCATCACTTGCGCCTCGTTTTCAGGGAGAAGGTCTATGAAGATGCGACTAATCGCTCTGATGATAGCGGTGGTACTCGGAGTGCTCCGGGTCGGAGTAGCGCCGGTAGTAGACCCGGTGCCGATGATGATTGGTACACTCAAAACCAAGCATCACGCGACGCGCGCCCCCCGATCGATTTCGATACCCCAAAGGGAGGTGGAGCGTCATCAAAGGGGGCATCAGGAAGGTCTGGGAAGACTGGTACGGGCCCGAAGCAGGGAAAGGGAGGCGACTCGAGCGGAGCCAGGGCTGGAAACAGTGGAAGACAGGGGGCTACATCGGGGCAAGGCGGGGCCAGCGGCGGAGGCTCAGGTAGGCGTGCCGAGATTGGAGCGCCCCCGCCGTTCATCCTCCCGGGCGCTTCGGGCCGTGCCACGAACGTTGCCGGCACACGTGGCTCGCAAATGGGCAGCGACGATCCTTTTGTCGACACCCGGCGTGGTGGTGCACCACCTGGGGCTTCGCAGGGCGCTGCAGGCGGTGGACGTGCTCATCACCCGCGACCAAGCTTGCCGCCCTTGGCTATCCCACCAGCCGGGCACAGCCGAGCGCCCTCTTCGCCAACGAAGCGACATGCATCGTCGGAGGTGCCGCATGAGAGCTCGCCGTCCCCAAAGAAGAAGTGAGGCGACTGACATCCCTTGTTTTCCTTCCTTGGTAGTGTTGTATTGGCCGTGATGGAATGGGGAATTCCTCTGGGAGCCTACATGGTGACTGGATCTGGTTTGCGCAGTGTTTCTCGTTGCTTTTTGGTTTTTTGGTATGTTTTGTTTGTGTTTTCGTTTCTGGGGAGGGGGGTGATTCTCTCGTGGAGAGAAATCTGATAAAGTGCTCGGATGGGAACGGCCTACTGGGAAAACGGGACAGATTGCAACTCAAAATTGACAAGGGAAATATAGCATTATGGTATTTGATCAGACTCAAGGTCTTCTACGTGAATGATTTGATTTCGATTGGCACTTTGAACCTCATCAACGACTGCCGTAACCTGGTTTTGAGTGAGCCTCAACTGGTGAGTAGGATGATCAAAGTGAAATACGAAGATACTTACTAACCTAACGGAGCGTCCCAATGTGGCTTGAAGTTAACACCAATGTACCATGTAAGACGCCACGTGATCCGAATAATGTTGCCTGAGGTAATCAATCCGGCTTACTCCTTTTCTCATTGACCGCTGAGGCATTTTGAGCTGACGCCGATTCCCCCTTGAATCTGATTCTGATCACCACCGGTCCGACGCAGTTGTTCAAGCCGCCCAATTCTCCTCCAGCCGCCCTCACATCAATTGCTTTCAATAAATCAGGTCACTTCCTGCGCACAAAATCATGGCTAGCTTAAACGCATCCCCAACATCCTGGTGGAAACCTGCCGCCCTACCCCTCTTCACGGGCCTGCTCGCCCTGCTCGGCGCCGCAGACGGGGTCCTCAACCTCGCCAAGCCCGAAGGCGGGGCCGCGACGTTCGGTATCGTGCCCCCGCCGCGGGACACCGTCACCCCGGCCCAGTTCGACGCCTTCCACCACGCGCTCATCAAGGTCAAGGGCGCCCGCAATCTGCACATGTCGTCGTGCATCCTGGGCTTGGTGCTCTACGGCCAGTTTTCCGACATTTGCCGCGCTTCACCGCTAGCGGCCACGGCGGTGCGGAGGTGTCTGGGGATCGTGCTAATGCTGGGTTCCGGCGTAGGCTTCAGCGGCGCTGCGGTCGTGTCTGAGTACATGGGGAGCCCTGGCGCTTCGGATGAGGCGCTCGAGGTTGGCAGGGCTAAGGTCAAAGGCCATTTGATTGCCAATGTGCCCATCTTGGCGTTGGGATTGATTTACTTGTTGTACTGACTTCTTGAGTTGATATTTGTGGGCGCTCTTTTTGATGGAATTTGCAGAAATTATTCCGCTCCTCTGCACTATCCTGATATTCATCACTGTTAGTGTGTACGTACTTACTTTGGCTCGGTGTTAAAAATTGAACTTCTCAACTCACCCTCGCGCTATCCGTCGGTCCAAGAGAAGTATTGTTACCGCGTGATACCAACTTTCTCAAAGAAATTGGTCCTTAGATATTCAGTGCTTTCCCAGAAGTTCCGAATCAGGACACTAAAATGATCCTACAATTTCGAGTGCGAAGTCTTTGGAACGGAGTCATACACAGAGCAAAAAAGGGGTGTCATATCCTGAGTGATACCATACGAACATATCGCATCTTTGGAAGCAGCTTATCACACAAGGATAACACTCGCATAAAGAATACGCATGTTGATCATGCCTCGACCAGCTTTCTGGTGGCAATTCTCATCCTCTTCCCAAACAGCCATAGAGGAATCGTCAAAAGAGAGAAAATTCCCATCAGCATTCCAAATACACCAAAAGGTTCCGATGTTCCCTTCTCCTCGACCCAGTGCGCGACAAAGAAAGTCCACGCAAATGCGATAATTGCTCTCATGATCGTGACCATGACGAAGCAATCGCCAGCAAGTTGCTGATACGCATCGATGAGCTATAGTTTCTCAGGTTAGAAATCTTATTGCTTGACACGAAAGCACGCGTGTGGGGGATGCCTATACTTACGTAGTTGAAGCCGACGGATGGCAGCTGCATAAGACCAAACGACACCATGGCAAATCCGGCAGAGAGACCGACCCAGCCATTCTTGGACGGGTACTGTCCCGTGAAGCCAAACACGAAGAACCCGCCCGTGGCGATGACGAGCGAGGGAAACATGGTCGGCAACCTGCTCTCCGCTTCCGCCAGCCCGCTGCCCGAACTCTTGACCTTCTTCTTCAGCTGAGCGTCGGCGAGGAGGTACGTGTACAAAGCGCCCAAGCCGGTTCCGATGACGCCTCCAATGTTGATCAGCCCGACGTTGGCGCCCCAGAGGTACGGCGGTGCCGCCACGAGCTGGGGCCCGACCGTGGAGATGGTGACGATGCCGCCGACGAGGCCTGCGTAGTGAAACATGACTACCCAGGTGCCCGGGAGTCTCAAAGTCTTCCAGGGGGCGAGGAAGTTGCTCAAGACGCCGCCGCGATAGTGGGTGAAGCCCAGGGACCGCCCGAAGGTGAATGGACGATAGTCTAGCACCTGGCTCTGCGCGTCCTCGACGTGGCTTTCCATGCCCTTTTCGTCAATGGGCGACTGGCCTGCGGCGTCGACGTTGGGAGAGACGACGCGGTCATAGAGCGTCTCGGGGACTAAGAAGAGGGTGGTGACGAAGCAGGCGGCAGAGAGGGCTATGCCGACATAGAAGATATGGAACCAGCCTAGTTGGAACCCGATATATCCGCCCGCTATTCCGCCGATGAGAGAACCGCCCGCGAGGAAGACGGTGTAGATGGCCTGAGTGAGAGAGTTGGGATGTCAGCCAAAGAACACTTCTCTTGTTTGACTCCATCGAACAGGTTTGGGGGTTATCTTACCATGGCACGCCCTCGCTCATCGACGAAAAAGACCTCTCCGATGAGTGCCGGGGCGACAGACTCTGATGCACCGGCTCCGATGCCCTGGAATAGTCTGGAAACGAGAACACCGTTGTATGTTGTTGAGACAGCGCAGGCAATGGTGCCGATCGTCATGAGAAGCGTTGCGGCCAGCAGCACGGGTCGTCGGCCGAAAATGTTCGAAAGAGGGACCCACCAAATGTTGGACGCTCCGAGAAACAGAATATTGACCTGTAGGAAACAAAACTCCATCAGCTGAGTTCATCAACCCGGGACCAGCGTGTGAAGACAGGAATCGACGCACCGCGATAAAGTATGTGAGGTCACTAAAAGGCCTGACGTCTGTGGGGAAAGCCTTGAACCATAGTTGCAACGCCGGTGCAATACCCGAACTGGTGAAGTTGCCGGCAAAAGAGTATAGTGAGACAGTCAACAGCAGTGCGAACTTGCGCCATTGTGCCCAGTTGAGAGGGTCTGCTGGGTCTTCCGATGGTTGTGGGAATCGTCTGAGAGAGTTGGAAGATCTTGGTGACCCGCCGGAAGACTCGTCTTCAACTGCGAAGAAAATCAGTAGTCAGCAAATAGTCCAAGTATTGTTACACAAGAATCGTGTCGTGGGGTATCAGTAACGCATTGCCTGGTCCAGCGCGGCTCCAACAATGACTCTGTTCAATAGTGGAGGAACTCACCTATCAACCTTGCCGTCCCAGGTGGTGTTGCCCTTGCGACTTCCTCCTTGCTTAGGGCAAACGCATACTTCCAGCCCGACATTCTCTTCTGCCTTCTAGATTGGGTGAAAGTGGGTTGATTTTCTTGATCAAGTTGGTTACTGGTGTCTAATGTGCACGTCGACCTTTGGAGAATCGCCCCAAAATCATCAGAGTGAGATGGTCTGATGTTCGTATGATTCCAAACTCTCGCTTCTGCACCGTCCTTTTCAATAATTCCCTTCCATTGTCTAACTTGACTCTCTGGGGTTGGGCCGAATAGCGTTGCACCGACACTACCCCAGATTCCCCCCCGGAATATCCACTGGGGGTCACAGCCATGCAACCTTAAACTGCATAGCTGCCGGAGTGGGGGACGAGGGGGTTCCGAGGTGGGGGACTTCAGCGCCGGCACGTTGTGACGGTACTATCTTGGAAGAGCGGAATAAACTTTAGAAACCACCTCACATAGACCAAAGTTCAGAGAATATCCCTTTAATATCGTTATGATAATGGATTGTTCGCTATTCTAGATCTGTCGTGCTGTGTCGGTGTTGATGCAAGCTTTCCCAGCACCGATATGTCTACACTCAAAACAGCAGTTCTCTAACACACCACACTCCATGCCCTAGTCAAGCTCAAGGAGCAGTGAGCCAGATACTTGCGAATGAGCCAAGCGAACTATTCCCAGACCGGCCTTTGGCCCTAGTGAAGACCAATCAGAGCACAAGAAATATACATGACGTTGCACTAGTTAACTAGAACCGGCCCCGCTGGTTGAACGGGCAGGGTGGGGTGCCGAAATCAAAGCTGAGGAAGTTGGCGCTCTCCCTTTCCATGGTAAAGACCACATCAGTCTCTTGATGTAGATCACGCTGGTTTAGCGGTAACATTGGTTTCAGATCGAGAAAGTTTGACTGTTTTGCGGCCCGATTCAGGGTACACATATGGCTGTGAGCATTAGGGGCAGGTTGATGCTGATGCATCATTCAATTTTTCACATGTGGCGATTGAGTCGAGCAAATAACAAGAGGCAAGTCTCCAAATTATTGAGCAATTTGCATACCGTTTTGAGTTCATTCCTCGGTCCCTCAGAATCCCCAATCACCCGGGTGTGATAGGGTCTATCGTATAAATGGTATGGCTCACCAGAGTTCAATTAGCTACCCCGGATTCTCCGGACAGACTTTGCGGGGTTTGGCTTTTCACCCGTGATCCATATCCGCAAGTACATACAAGAATAAAACGAAAGTTTAGCTAGCTTAACAAGACCACTTCTTCAAATCAAGAGACTAGCAGCTGTAAATTCCATTAGCTCAAGATTCATGAGCGTCCATTCTTGACGCCAGCGTGCCGAAGACCGGGACCCCGGCCACGCCAGGATCACAGCCTCGAACCCCACGCTCACTACCACACGGGTGTGCACTCTGTATCTCAGATTCCTTGGCCGCTTCTTGGTCTATGGCCCCACGACTGAGAACGGAATCACGCCTCCCCCCCCCCCCCCCCCCCCCCCCCCCCCGCGCCCCCCCCCCCCCCCCCCGCCCCCCCCCCCCCCGGGGTTTCCTCTCTTTTTCCCATGGGGCCTCTTTCCTCCCCCTTTTTTGCGGCTTTGGCCCCCCGCCCCGGAACGGGACACCCCCCCCCCCCCCCCCCCCCCCCCACCGTTCCGGAGATGAAAACTGGCGTGTAGAGACGGCGGACCGCTATCAGGTGGCTAGTCAGAGTTGCTCATACACTTCACCTCGCGAAGTAAGCCAATCACCAGCGACTTTTAACTTGTAATGTGGACCGCACTATTAACCGCCGAGAGACTTGGCGGGTACGATGATCCGCATCTAGGAAAACCACATCTCCACAGACCTGGCCGACGGGATGTAGCACTGATTTAGCTGCCGAGAAGACGTGTCCGTGGCCCTTTAGTTGGCAGCTGCAAGTGATGAGAGGGATATTTAGCAAGGCAGCGTACTTACCGTAGATCTTGTCCCTTCAACTGCGGCAAGGGAACATGCGAGCCCAGTAAACCTTTCTCGCCCTCGTGTCTCTTCCACCTATCAGCAAAGAGATTTCGGGTACAGATTTCCCTGCTATCGCGTAGGAATTTTGACTAAAATCGGGAATGCGCAGAGAGAACGGCATGAATGCGGGAACCGGCTGGACTGCATTCAATAGAGTGGAAATCTTCCAAGACGACTAGTAACAAACCTTGCCCACCCTGCCGTTCGTGAACCGGGGTGAATACTACTTCACCAACTGTTGCTGTTGTTGGTGTTGAACAGCCATCACCACTCTGGCGAAGCAAGGTGCGCGATTTTGTCGTTGAGGGCTCTGGCTGTTCACAACGTACAATCAGAACGTTTCTGTACAACTATTCTCAAGTAAGGTAGATGTACGTGTCTCTCATACTATTGAATGCTAGGTTCTGTCAGCAAGATTCCCAACTCGCCCTCGATAAACCCCATGAATAGGAGATGACATACTATCGCATAGGCATTCTCACTAAGACCGTATACGGCTTGCAATCTTAGCACAGCTTGAGTCATGTCGAGATCAAGGCAAAACTTGAGACGACGTATGTATTTCCCGACTCCACGGATGCTATCCTCATTTAGAAACGTTGTCGTAAGCTGTACCCAATTCTTCTTCTAGATTATTTCGAGCACTCCTCAGAAACAACGACAAACTGATATAACTCCCGCTCGTTTCGAGAGTGGAACCAGCTCACAAAGCAGAGACACGCGCCTTAAACTACCAAATGCATCAAATCCTGTTTGGGCTTGAGTTCAGAGTGTCTTCAGACCCGCCATACCCTTGCAAAACTGCCACCTTCCTGTGCCGGAATCTTTCCTATCTCTTGCCAAAGCCAAGCCACCACACGAGGGTAATCATCGAAAGATTCAGACGGGCAAAAATCGTGAAAGTGAAAGCCCTTAGCCGATCAATAGGTGCGATGCTAAGTCTGCATGGCGGGCAACATGGCCTGGTCCGGCAAAAGCATGGACGCGTCAATGGGGATTTGTCCAGGCCCGTCCAGCATCATAATCTCCCAAAACGACTGGTCCATCGCCACTCCCCCGAGCCAAGACATGTTCGGGTCTGTCATCATCCCCACGTGAGGGACAATTTGCGCTTGCTGCTGCTGCTGTTGCTGCTCCTGCTGCTGCTGCTGCTCCGTCGCCATCTGCTCCTGAGGCGGCTGCCCAACAACCTTGTTCAGGTACCACTGACGGATCCACCTCGCCCGGTACGCATAATTCGCCCAGCGCGAGCTCTCGTCCTCGAAGATCCGCCTCTTTTGCCCGACGATCAGCGCCACGTTGTCCGCCTCCTCGAACCGATCCGCCAACCGCCGCGCTATATCGGGAAGGTCGAGCTTCTGGCGCGCCAGCATCACGTCCCAATCACTTGCCGAGTCTTCCAACAGCAGTCGGTGCGAAGACATCATTGTATGTGCTACATCTGCAACGGTGTTGAAGGGTAGATATGCAAATGCTTCAGCCGGGATGGCGAGTAGCGCGTCCATGGCGATCTGGATCGCCTGGAGGCAGAACCAGAGTGACTCGGTCCTACTGAACTGCTCCATGGCGGACATAGCCTCCGAAGGGCTGGCTCCTCGCATGCCGATGCATGGTTCGTATAGTCTAACCATCAGTGCGCCGTAGTGTGCCCAAACCATTGCTATACGACGTGTACGGTTAGTATAATTGACTGTGGGCTCGTTTCCTTGTTGCCGAGAAGTTCACTTACGATTCTCCTTCTTGATGGCGGGTTCTTCAGACTCGAGAGAGCAGATCTCTTTGCGAAGTGATGCTAGCACCGCACTAAAGTGTTCCCGAAAGATGGGTAGAGGCTCCCCTTCCTCTCTATCTGGGCTTGGAAAGACAGCGCGAATGCGGTCCCCTAGATGTTGCATGCGAACGAGGGCAAGTAGATTCTGATCTGTCGGTATAGCGTCCGCCTCGCGAATGGCTTTGGAACATCGTGCGATCTGGGGCGTATACTGTATCTGCGAGTGCCTCCTTATGGCGGCGGGCACACTGGCAAAGATGATCAGTTTCGTTCCACGCTTCACTATACAAAAGCGGGCGAAAGGTAACACACCTTGACGCAATGAAATAGCCGCCTAGAATTGCTCTTTGCTCTTCAAGAGTTGGTTTTGGTGCTTCGAATTGTTTTCCGCCCCGTCCCAAGACTGCCCACGCATCATTCAATAAGGTTTTCGGCATCCAACTCACGGGGCCTGCTAGAGTGTACATGGTCATGTCCATAACCAGACCGATGGCTAGCTGGAGGAGGGTGTTTGCGTTGATACCCATCTGTAGGTGGACATCGCCCCTGTAAGATACAAAATTATCAGATAATCACGCTTCGACAACAGCACGGGCCCGGAACCAATGCATCGAGAAACGACTCATTACTACCACTTACCAGGCGACATAGACAATCAAACCTTGGAGCAGCTCAATCTTCTTCTCCTTATGAACTATGATGTGCATAGCTGCATGCTTGCGGACCCAGTCGTCGACTGACTTTTGTACTGTGGCTGTCTGGGGTACAATGGCTTGCATAATACACCAGAACAAAAATCGCTTCTGGTTGTGGAGATCCCTTGCTGTAACTTCGGGCTCGATGGGCACAAATGGGAAGTTGGGAACCATACGCGTCCGGTAGATGGAAAGGTACTCCTCAGCCTTCTCGGCAGCGATGGTGAACCCCGGCAAGAGCTGATAGGAACCGCTGGGAAACCCAGCCTCTGGAGTCGGCATAGAATGACAATCTTGGGTGCCGGCTGAACTGTTAACACTTGGAGATGCGTCTGTGCTTACTTGATGGGTGACGCCTGGTATAGTCAACCCAGTGCATGGCATCAAGCGCGGGTCCTCGCTGCTGGGGCTGGGCCCGGTTGCCGGCTGCCCTTGTGTCTCTCCTGACTGCTGCTGTGTCTGAAAAAGGCTGACTAGGCCATCTATCTTCTTCTCCAGCTCAGTTACACGACTACGGAGTAGGCATTTAGCTTCATGTTCTGCTCAAAGACACCAGTGAGGAGAAGTGAGAAGGAGGACCGGGTGATCTGCAGCTAGCTTGAAAAGCAGGATGCAACAAAACACATTCCGTGTGAATTCATCGGGTCTTTGGACTGACCTTGACTTTCCCCGTTTCTTCCTCGGGACCGGCTCCGGTACTTGACATCGTATGCTCATGCGGGAGCAGCTTGGCATACCAGCGATGTCAGCGGGCTCTGGTTGATACACACAACTGTAGCCAACAGAGGCAGAACTGCTCACCGTATGCAATCGGCGTGTTCGCTATGTTCCGAACCCGGTTGCCACCGACACCGTATCTTGAGGCGAGCGCAATTGGTGCAAGCTCGGGACTTCTTTGTGTGACTATGCGCAAAGTCGGGGCTGCTGGCGTCATCGTTTGGCGACATCGTTTGTAATGTTTCCCAACAACAACCCGAGCTTAGAGATATTTACGGAGCATTCGCGTCTCAGAAAATGGAGACAGAAAATGTGAATGAAAGTAAGGGCACTTTAGTTAGGCGCGAATTAGATGGCAATGTTGGGGCGAGGGAGCTCGAGAGTGATGGAACGGACGGCATGCAAGAGTCCGGGGGCCGGTGCATTCTTAAGATCCGTAGATGGATTATCGGAATGTAAGGGGGCTACTTGATTGGCTTCATCACCGTTGTGGAGGACGGCGTCGGAGGTCATTTTCAGCCCCGACATCCGACTTTTCACACCAAAACTGCTGCCCTGGGCCCAAGCTCCTTTGTAAACGGCGGCCGCCAACATCCAAAGATCTTTTTCTTGCGTCCGAGTATCCACTGTAAGCACCAGTGATCCTGACCCTGTTGCGTGTGTCGGACTCAGTCTTCATCTGCAGAGCTTTAGGGACTTTGTTGTGATTTTTACACGTAATACTAAAGATGATTAAGGCTGAGGGATCTTGACTTTTGTGTGTGGCTACTGGCGCTAAACCCGGCTTGGCATGCTGACTTTGACATGTCTCCCGTGTTATTCTCCGTACGGACCGGTAACATGATGTGGGATCTGCATGTGTAGAAGGTGAAAGATTCAAAGTCGATGAGTCTCATAATAGTCATGAAGAATGATTGTATTTAAGAAAATAGTCGCTGGGCAGAGAAATTGAACATTTGGCATTCGCACAAGCAACCACACCACGCTTTGCAACTTTATTTGACCAATTTCATTGGTACCATCAGCGAAGATGCCTGTCGAACCAAGGTGGGTTCACACTGCAGCTACTATGGGGCTACGGAGACACGTTCCGGGCTTGATGACCTAACAGTGTCCCTAGAACGACAACCTCACTCTCGATACCACGAACGAGTGGAGAGAAGTTCAGCGATGCAGAACTAGAGAAGACCTCTCCAGCCCAAGATGCCACCGCAGAAGAGTATCCCACTGGTGCGAGCCTGGCCATCATCACAATTGGCCTATTCCTTGCGGTTTTGTGCTTTGGACTTGTACGTGTCAATTGCTTTCTGGGGCATTGTGTCTCCCTGTCGATGCAACACATGGCTGACAGCACCCATCCTCATCTAGGATCGCTCAATCTTGGGAACTGCGATCCCGGTAATCACATCCGAGTTTGAGTCTTTACCGGATGTAGCGTGGTATGGCTCCGCGTACCTCTTCACCATGTGTTCGTTCCAGCTCTTTTTCGGCAAATTGTACGCCGAGTTCAACGCCAAATGGGTCTTCCTTGTTGCTCTCTTCATCTTTGAGGTGGGGTCCATTGTCTGCGCCGTGGCTCCGAGCTCCGTGGTTCTTATTGTCGGCCGAGCCATCTCCGGAGTCGGTGCCGCTGGACTCATGTCCGGCGCTCTCATTGTAAGTCTTTCCAACAAGGCTTGGCGTTTCTCGATTTCTACGGAACCTTATTGACTAATCCAATCGCGACTCAGATTTTGGCTAGAAGTGTGCCTCTTCACAGACGCCCGCAGTTCACCGCAGCAGTTGGCGCGGCGGGCGGGATCTCGCAGTGCATAGCGCCGACTCTTGGCGGCGTTTTTGTTGATAAGGCTACTTGGAGTAGGACTTCTTTTACCCCCTCATCATGTGATGTAGCAGGACACTGACGCACATCAGGATGGTGCTTCTGGATCAACCTTCCTCTTGGCGGTGTGACCTTCCTGGTGGTTCTCTTCCTCCTAAAGCTACCGACGCCGCCGAAGAAGCAGACACAAAGCGTGCGGGAGTTTATTTCAAACTTTGACTTGGTAGGGACACTGCTCCTCATACCTTGGATTATCTGTCTTCTCCTCGCCTTGCAGTGGGGCGGAACTGAATATCCCTGGAGTAATTGGCGCATAATCCTGTGCTGGTGCCTCTTTGCGGTCTGCTTCCTTTTATGGGCACTAGTCCAGTTCCGCGAGGGCGACAAAGCCACCGTCCCATTTCGCATCCTTTTCCAGAGGTCTATGGCCTGTGCTTGCTGGCTTATGCTTCTTCTGTTCTCACTTCTCTTCATCGAAGTGTACTACATCCCCATCTGGTTGCAAGCAGTCAAGAATCACTCTGCCTATCAGAGTGGCATTGACTTATTGGCATCATCGGTTTCCTTGTCAGTGGCTACAATACTTTCTGGATTCTTGGTAAGTTGATAATACATGTACTGTCCATCCTTGGGTCGCTTAGTACACCGTGATACTGATCAATTGTCAGACAAGTCACATCGGATACTACGTCCCGCAACTCATCGCTTCATCTGTTATCGCCTCTATCGGAACGGGGCTGATCTACTCGTTTGACGAAAACACGAGTTCAGGCTTCTGGTATTATTTTAACTTGCCCCGAATTTTCAACGCACTCCAGATGCTAACAACCGCTGTAGGATTGCCTCACTTGTTCTTTTAGGAGTGGGCGTGGGTCTGGGCGGGCAGCAGACGTTGATAGCAGTTCAGACCGTGTTCCAAGGTCGTGACGTAGCCCTAGCCACGTCTCTCTTGATTTTCCTGCAAAGTCTCGGTGGCACCGTGTTCTTGGCTGTCGCTCAAAACATCTTCCATTCGAGACTAATCTCCGAGTTGAGCCAAAACGTACCCAACGTAAACCCGGCAGTCGTCATTGACGCGGGCGGTTCCGGACTAGTGGAGTCGATGCGGAGCATCTACCCGGATTCAGTCGACGGCATTATCGGAGCTTACAACAAGGCTCTCCAAAACGTCTTCCTGATTGCCACTGTTCTCGGGTGTTTGACAGTTTTTGGGTGTGTCTTCATCGAGTGGAAAAGCGTTAAGAAGGACAAGACGAAAGGCGGCCAGACTCCGGGTCAGACGAAAAGAGATGGAGACGCGGAGAAGTAGAGCTACTATAGATCCCGGAACTTCCGGTAGTTAACGACTTAAGCATGTATCACTATGCAATAGTGCGGCTTGGAATTGGGAATAATGGCCAAGCACTTTCTATAGATAGTTAAGGGTATGCGAGGTCTGTTCTCAAACCGGGCAATAAAATCGTAAGTGTCACAATCATTCCATGCGCACGTTCCCGTTGACGTCGATCTCCCGATGATTTCAGCGTAAAAGCTCTCCTGACGTCAATAGACAATACTCAATTCGTCTCCCGCGCGCGACGAAGAACATATCTCAGAGCCGCAAACACCCTAGCGATATGTGCAAACCATTAATTGTTTGTGCCGATCTCCCGTAAGTGCCAGCTTCAACGCTCGGAGATCCCCCACGGTCAAGGGGGGACCGAAGGGGCCAGCCGGGGGCCCACGCCTCTTTCAGTATCTCGAAACGACGCCGCAACCGTTTCATCCGTTTGCAAGCTTTAGCTTGGTAATCGTGAAAGAACTCCAGACTTCATACTCAGCCAGCCGACTGCCGGCTCATTGGCAAGCTTGGATGTTGCCCGCGTTGCCCGCAACTTCATTCCCTTGTTGGTCACTGTCGTCCCAACGCCGAAAGGACCTGACACGAGGAGACAGCTTCTTGATTGACCGGCCTCTCCCCTCCTGGCCAAGAAGCGCGAGATGATATCCCCCCTCTTCTAATTAATGTTTAATCCGCCTTTTTTCTTCGGTGCCAATTTCTAAGCATGCCTCGGTATGCAGTGCGGCCGAAGAAACGAAACATGTCACGTTTGAGGGATCCGACACCTCTCATTGGACAACTCGGGTCATCTCATCTTTCGAGATGCCCAAGCTTCGCTGCTACCCCTGCTGATCACGGCAACTCGAATACTCCAATTGTGCGATTTTAAGTCTACGCGGTCTCATGATCGGGAGAAGCTTGCCCAGTGCGGAAGGTTAAGAGAGAAAAGGTTCGTATTAGTGGATGAGTGGTGTCGCCGTGCATCCCGAAGGTGCTGATAGTTTGAGATCCTGCATGCTGTAATGGTTAGTTTAAATATCATAGAGTCCTCTGCCCCTCTCCTGCAGATCATCGTCCTCTGCAGTGTTTTCAGTGTCTTCGTATTGAAGCAGCGTCTCCTCGTCTCAGCCGTGTCAGCCAGTAATCCGTACAGGATCATCGAGTGTCAAAGTATCCAAGATGAAGTTCAGCATCGTCGCCGTCTATCTCTCCGCCTTTATAGGAGGCTCCTTGGCCGCCGCTCTCAATGGTAAGTATTTCTCGCTTACACCACGAAACTATATTTTCGTAGCTCGTGGCTCACATCTTCGATAGAGCGTCAGGCACCACCTGCGCCGGGCCCCGCTCCCCCGACGCCCAAGGTCATCCCCGTTGTCGTCGGTAGCCCGACTCGTGAGAAGTCTCTGCTCTTCTATCCTGAGGTCGTGAAGGCAAACCCTGGAGACATTGTTCAGTTCCAGTTCTGGCCCAACAACCATACCGTCACTCAGGCCGCGAACACCCAGGCCCCGTGTAACCCTCTCCAGGATACGATGCCGAATGGCGTTCATTCTGGCTTTATCCCGGGAGTTACAGACGGCTCTCCGGTCGGGACTTTCAACGTGCAGGTCGAGAACACCGAGCCCATGCTCATGTACTGCGCTCAAGGCATGCACTGCCAGCTTGGCATGGTCATGATCATTAACCCGTAAGAAAGCCCTGGCTTATCCACCCTCCAAATTTGACAACACTAACAACCCACCAGGAAGGCGGACGCCGATGTCCAAGCGTACAAGATGGCCGCCAAGGGATCACAGATGAACGTCCCTGCCAAGAATGTGGCTGGTGGTTCTGCGGGCAGGATTCCTTCAAATTTGGCTGTTCCGCCTGTTGTGTAAAGGAAATGGCGCAAATATAGCGACTGATGTCACAGTGCACTTATATCAAACCTACAAATTGTAATTTATGTTGTTTACATGATGGCTTATCGTCACCTACAAGTTTCGGCGAAGGATACAGTTGAACAAGGTGGAGGCGCTGCTGATGCGGGTTGTCGGCTACAGCTTTGAGGATTTGTGTGCGCGGAGTCTGGTTGGTTATAAATTCGAGGATCGACATTGAATCACGAGACTGCGTTTTCGAGGTGCATATGAGTGACCCTGTCACATTGGTGCGCGAGTGCAAGCTGTTCCGCTCATTCCATTCTTTGACTCTGTCATAATCATAGCTTCCAACGCCGAATGTGAAATGTGTTTGGCAAGAATGGCTGGTGGACTTTGCGGGTTTAGGTCGGCATAAAGACCGAGTTAGCCCGCTTACTCTAGAGTACGGGCAACTCGCAACTAAGACAAGGGCGGCGTATCAACGGCGATCTTTAAACCGACTTACATGCATTTAATAGGAGATGGAAAACGTAGGGAATCAAGATTTGGGGGTCTTCTGAGATGAATTGGGTGCCGTTCTTTACTATATTAAGTGAACGCGACCTTGTGGTCAAATAAGGTAGTCTCGGACTACTTCATGACGCTCACGTCTTAAGAGAGACAAGATTCAAAGAACCTGCTTGCAATGGCATCTAGCGTGACGGTAGCACGAAACAATTGAATCTGTCTTCCCATGAATCTTTCGTCAGGTAGGCAACGGGAAATTATCCTGCATTTTTACGTCACTCTGCATACATTTGCCCGTGTCAAGGCCCAGACCTTATGTCGAGACATCGGTCTTGTTAACATGGGAAGAGCCAAGACTTTCTACTCACAAAACACCCGTATGCTGCAACTGTCACATTGAAAGAAAAGTTCCCCGTTCCAGCAGAATGCATGTTCTCTCTTTGATCATCACTACATGCACATAAACAAGGTAGACGCAGGTGAAGTAAATTGCTGCAATCGCTGGGAAAGCCCATTTCATTTATCACATTGAGCCTGAGACAGGCGAGCAATCGCCGTTTGGTACTCAATTAGTGTCTGTTGAGCTGAAGACACTGGACGACGGATGCAAGTGTCGGGGGCATAGGAGATAGCTTAACAAACTCACCGTCTCGTAGCCTTGAAGATTGGCCGTACGCCATCACGGTCAACGGCTTAATCAAACACCGCGATACTCCACTCCCGTTGCGTCTCCGCGGCCGGCCGCAAGCTGGCTGATGCATCTCATTGCGGGGCGGACGCCGGTCTCGGACAGTTTTCATCCCCGAGTCCCGCCGCCTAGAAAACCCAAAACACACCGGCCAAGATCAACGATTCCCCCATCTGACACCGAGAACCTCCAGGTTCGTGGCAGATAGTTCCCAGATGTTCGAACTCAAGCGATCCGTCAGGCCTTTTATTCCGATTATTGGTTTTTGTGGATGGATCCTGCGCAGGTAGTCCTGTCAATTGACTCAAGAAAAATCCTCCAGTATCCATATGAGATACCAGTCCGACTATCCACGATTGACGCTTCTACCCGCCTTGGGGTCGCATATTACATATGCTGATCCACTTGGGTGTCCATGCATAGCGGGCAAGGAGGATGCCTTACTATTTCGACCCACGCTATTCGACACTTTGAACAAGGTTTCGGTCCCGAGAGTGTCTCCATAGCCTAGCATTCTAAGATCGCCTATGACTCGTCCCATACCATGCACCAATGATAGTTGTAAGCCGTACGCCTTTAAATCTTCAACTTCAAGACGCTGCGGATTGATTGCGTACATGTCTGACAATCCATGACGGAGTCGGTTCGTCTCAAATAGGATGGGTAAATACGATGACTCTTCCGCTATAAAAGCCCATCATTCTCGTGCATCTGCTTTCGAGGAATGCTCGAGACCAGCTCTCACGCCAATTGTCTGCTCTATCAATCAATATTGAGCTTTTCATCTGCCTATCTATCTTCCTCATAATTTATACGAGCATCTTTACGATGAATACCCAACTCTTATTGGCATTTGCAGGCTTTGCCCTCCTTGCCCAGATCCTTGTCTCCTTTGTTCAGTGGCTTCGCTCCCCCCTACGATCGGTGCCCGGACCTTTGCTGGCTCGCTACACAGACTTTTGGTATTTTCATCGCCTTAAACAGGGAAATTTTGAGAAGGTCAACCAAGAACTACACGAACAATACGGTAAGAGCGTCAAGCGACAGCAAGGAGTATATGTACTAAAGTTTATCCTTTCTCGCCAGGGCCCATCGTCCGCTACGGCCCGAACCGATACAGTATCAACGACGCGGAAGTCCTCAAGACTGTCTATGGCCATGGTACGCAATTCCAGAAGTCAGAATGGTACATCCCGTTCCAGCCGAATGAGGATCAATGGAACGTATTTTCGGATCGCTCGATACAGCGTCATGCTCACAGCAGACGGTTCTACACCAACGCGTATTCAATGACGTCTCTTGTGAACTACGAGCCATACGTGGATGATTGCGGTGCTCTCTTTTCTCAACGTCTTTCAGAGTTTGCCAAGGCTGGCTCTACAGTAGACATCGGACATTGGTTCCAGTGCTTCGCCTTTGATGCTGTCGCAATGATGACCTACGGAAAGCGTCTCGGCTTCCTGGATCGTGGCGAAGACATTGCACAGGTCATTGATAACATTAATAAGAGCTTGGTATACTCGAGCTTGACTGGTATCTTTCCTTCCGTGCATATGTACATTGCACCACTGGTTACCGGCATCACAAAGCGTCTTGGCATGGGAGCGAAGATGATGTATGTCATAGACTTTACGGCGCAGACCATTGAGGAGGAGCGAGCTTCTCCAAAGACGGTCATCGAGGTCAAAGGTGCCGAAGACGGCGCTGCTGTTGGAGAGACGTTCCTCACCAAATTCCTGGCCAAGCACTCCAGCAACCCCACTGAGTTCACCAACTGGCATCTTCTCATCGGCTGCGCCAGCAATGTCTTTGCCGGGTCAGACACGACAGGTATCAGCATCTCAGCCATTGTTTACCACTTGCTCAAGAGCCCTGATGCCTTGGCGAAGCTTCGCGAGGAGATTGCAGACTTCACCAGTCGCGGCGAGCTGTCTCAAGCACCGAGTTTCAAAGAAAGCCAGAAAATGCCGTATCTTCAAGCAGTGATCAAGGAGGCTTTGCGCGTCCATCCAGCTGTGGGCCTGCCGCTCGAGCGCATTGTTCCCGAGGGCGGTGCTACCATCGGCGAGCGTTTCTTTCCGGCTGGAGTGAGTCAATGCTTCCCATGTTCTCAGTCCTCAACTGGTGATCACTAACCATTCAACCGTTCTTGATAGTCCGTCGTTGGAATCAACAGCTGGGTCCACCACAGAAACACAGCCATTTTCGGAGACGATGCCGAGAAATTCAACCCCGATCGTTGGCTGATTGAGAATGAAGAAAGGATCTCCGTGATGAACAGAAACTGGATGCCTGTAAGATGAACCCCCGTTTTCTTATGGTTACCTAACTCTCTTGGGGCATGTGATATCTAACATGAACCGTCTTCCAGTTTGGGCTGGGATCACGCACATGCCTTGGCAAGAATGTGTCTATCTTGGAAATGTCCAAGCTCATTCCTCGACTTATCCGGGACTTTGACTTCAAGCTTGAAGGTGCGGCTGCTACACCAAGAGGTGCCTGGAAAACACGCAACGCATGGTTCGTCAAGCCTAAGAACTTCCACGTCAAGGTGAAGTCGAGGATGGCAGGCAACTAGAATCACCACGAATGGTGTTCTGGGTATGCCAGAAGCATTTGCGCACCTGATCCCGTCCGCAAAGTCAGTGTTATCAAGCCTCCGGGTGTGGACCAAGCAGTCTTCGAGCTGTACTGCATATTTGATAATTTGCTGTCATCACACAATGAGCAAACGAGCGCTTTGGAACCTGTTAAGTTCTAGTATGGTCTGCAAGCGGAGACAACTTCACCATTTGCGGTAGCTCTCGTATGATGTAATGCCTTGAAATTTACAGGGTCTTATTTGAATCTTGATAAAGTAGATAATACTGAAATATGAGCGCCAGGACCTGCCATCTTCCCAGCCCTCTTATGCGTACATGTAACCTCACGCGGAACCCAGCCTGTTTCCTCTTTCGTCACCTAAGTAGCGTGGCTGCTCTCGTCTTTTGATCGATTTATTATCTGGTGGACATCCTTTACAGAGCGCCGCAGTAGCCACAGCTAGTGCACGAGTCGACAACGTAGACGTGATAGCTGTGACGGCCAAGGATGTTACCGGTCGTGTCGTGTCCGCCGGTGGGAACGTTGTTGCAGTACGTGATGCAGTTGGACCGAGCATCTCCACTCTCTTGGTTGTGGCCAGATACTGTGCCGCCAATTGCCGTGCATTCGGCATCCATCACGGGATATTGTTCCAATGTGCACGGAACATAGCTTTGCACAGGTGATGTGACGACGCCGCAGAATTGAGCGGCTGCGCCGCTGGCGAGAACAATGAGGGTGGCGATGGTGAACTGCATGATAATCGCTTGGAGAGGGTGTCCAAAGTAAGATTGAGAGATTCAAGGCTTAAATTATTTTGAAAGTTTGGCGTCAAGCTTGTCGTTGGGAGAAGACGAATCATGTGTTTGAATGCAATGTGGGTGTGTCTCTCGATTTCGTCCGTGAACTGTGTCATGTATTTATACCAATCACTTTCGAACCCTCAAGAGTGATTGAACTTTTCGGATACAGTTTGATTCCGTCTAGCAATGGTCAGATATCCGTTGGCAGGTCGAAAAGCCCTCAATAGCTGATCAAATTGTTACAAAGCGCAACCAACAGTGGTCCTATACGTGGAGACAATTAGGCTGTTGACAGCTCATCACGGAAGGTTGCAAGCAAATCTAGAAGCGATTGTGGTCCGAGTGAGGGGCGGCTCTCCAGATCTCCGCACAGCTATTCAGCAAAGTTATCTGCCTTGGTACAGTATGGCTAGGATCTAGCCGGCGGCATCCGATGTCTTTCGATGCCATTACGACGGTACCTGCAGGCTCTCCACAGATCGGCTCTTTGCTAGGATGTTTCCCGCCTCGGAGCAACTATAATGGCCCACAGAAAGCGGAATTGACTTCTAAGGTTGGCAACTACTTAAATTGCATCGCATAAAATACATTACCCGCGCGGTAGTATGCTACTCTAACGCCGGTTGCTGACACCAGCCTTATTGGGCTTCTGATGGCACTTTGGCCTTCATTTTGGGATGCCCTGTTTTCTGAAAAGGGCATATCATCGCGATTCGGTTAGTAGACGGTCTATTGCAGAAGCTGGTGTTTTCCTGTTGGTGAGAACAAGTAAAAAGGCGACTTGCGGATTGTGAAGGTCACCATCCACACCCGACAGTCTCAATCTCAATGTGAGATTACATTGGAAAAGCCGAGGGCATGTGTGCATCCAAGCAGTTCACCAGACAATTTTCGACACGTTGAACACAATCAAGGAAGCAAGCCTCGCGGCGTGTTGCTGACAAGACATGACTACTCTGGGAGACTCTAGTCGACGAGAGGCATAAACATCTGACCGCTAACGGAGGCGCCTCCCGTCCCGCCCTCATGACACATTCCGGACGGGGTTCCACTTTCAGGGCTCGTCCGATTGCGGGGCCCCTCGACACAACCACATCGGGAGGCCTGTGGCTGGATCTACCCATGGATGTTTGCGACCACAGGAGATTGTCGGGCACAAGTTGTGTCTGAGACGGCTAGGCCGAATCGCATACCGAATGATCCGGTCAATGATCAAACTATGGCGGCACGGCATGTGTGGCCCATTCAACTTCATCCCACTAGTTGATATATGACATGTGGGCTTGACTGGAATGCGTCCCTCAACGGCCAAGGATCCTAATGTCGACTTCACGGGTTCAAGACTTTATCTCCTGCCAACCAGAGCGCCCCCATTTCGCGTTCCGGTCTATTGTCTCAAGCGCTAGGCTTTCTGTGGCTTTTCTTTACTTTCTTTTTATCGACAAGTCGGGAACAGGGGCCCAGTCTAGGTCGGGAACGAGGACTTTTTCTCCGTCTCATCGATGATGATGCCGATGATGATGACACTCAAAAGGGGGGTGGTACGGCATCGAGTGCCCCATTGTCGCGTGGCGAAGTGCGTTGATTCACTTTCTCAGCGTGCCAAACCACGAGGCAAGGTGTCACTAGCACGCCGTCCTCGTTTCTTCTTGTGCCAGCCAACCCCCCGACATCCCCGACTAGTGACTAACGCCAGATCAAATCGATTTGTCTGGGGCTGCGGTACGCGATTGGCCGCCGCAGCTTCGGAAAGTTGCTTGCCTTCCTATCCGCGTGGCTATCAGACTGAGACAACTCTTGCAACCCACAAGCCAGACAGACGTGATAAATCAAAGACATTGTACTCGCTCCTGGGGGAGGAGAGACAACTCAGGGGAGGGGCCCCGTTCAAGGTTGTTAGATTCGTCGATCTGGCTGATTATTAACTTTCGGTCGAGCCAATAGGGAGTCGATATTACAGCCTCCCTTTCTCTCCCTGCGTCCGCTCAACAAGTGTCAACATTTCTCGCTTCTCCCTCTGTTCTATGATTTCTTTTCCCCGCCAGGATTGGTGATACTCAAGTGCCGGTGAAGGCTTCTCTGCCAATGTACATAAGAATGGCTTCGTGCTCCGTGATGATGGGAAATGTCAATTTTCCCTTAAGCAAATTTAAGCTTTTGCGCTCTCAGTTTCCGCACAAAGAGTCTCGATTGGCGAAGAGATCTTGCTTACTCCTCGTACGATAACGCCCTAATACCGGTTGGGTGGCTTCTCCCTCATCCTCGTTCCGCGCCGCCTGCATCATGTAGGTTTCCATTGTTCTCTCCCACACAATCGGAATGTCTGAATCACGACAAATTGCTGATCAAGTCAGATGAGCCCAGGGCTTCTCGCTTCCCGGGACGACGCTCAGCGTATCAAACTGCAGAATCTGAACTTGTTTGCTTCTGCCGCCTGCGGTGCGCACAGTGCCCGTGTAACCACCCGCAACTCTTCTCCTTCGCTTTGGCGCTCGACTGTCTGAGCCAGCTTGGGTTCCAGGCTTGCGTTCATCGTTGTACAAGCCACCCTTCTCGCACACGGATCTGGTTGTGTTCCGAAGATAATCTGCGAGCTCGGACGTCTCCCAGCTTTCCCTTTCGTCGCCCCGCTCTTGTCCGTCCCATTGCAGCACGCATTGCAGAAAACTTCCCACCCGATCCTGCGGCGCAGACTGGAAGGTTATTTTGAGTGCCTCAAGTGATTCGCCTTTTCTTCCTTCTCCCCATCACGCTGCGATTTCCGTTTCAGGAAAAGGCCGTGGTTGAAGGATTATTGCCACGACTCTTTGGAGGGGAGAAGAAAAGAAAAAAGGACTTGTATAACGCCCCGTGTCTCTCCTCTCTTCCACGCGCATCTAAGACATATTTCACCACCGACTTGCGTGCGACAACAAACGCCCCCCCGTGGCAGATTTCTCCAAGAACTTATTAAAGAGCCAACAAGCCTCTTTCGTCTCACTCTTTTCGAAACTCCTTAACGCCGAAAGCTTTTCATCGCCCAATATGGTTCTCGTGAACGCTCAGGACCCCATGCCGCAGGCCGCGGCGGCGCAGAGAAATGCGTTGCCGGATTATGTCACCACCCCCAACGCCGTCTTTAGCGATGAGGGTGTGCAGTGGAGATACGGCAGGGCGCCAGACTACACGAAAACGCGCAAAGTTTGGAGAGAAGGTAAGATCACATCACTCTCAAAACGTCATACTTCTATCCACCCGGTGTATTGGGAGGTCTCAAACTGACAACACTACTTCTCTAGGGAGGAAGATGAACCACAAGGCGGGCAGTCTCGAAGAGATTGTAGAGAACCTGGTGAAGAACTGGGAGGTTGAAGCCTCTTTCAAGACGAAGCTCGACGACTGGAGGACCGTCGACCACGCCAACTACACCTTCTCCGTGAACGGCGGCGCGCCGCAGACGGGCGAGCACATGCTCAAGGTCGGCACCTACAACGCCGTCATCACGCCCAACGAGTACTACAGCCCAGACTACTCAGACTTTGCATCCAGTCACAAGACGTTCAAGCGCATGATGCCCACTTTCGCCTGGGAGGTCATTGAGGTCTATAGTGGCCCGCCGTGCATCGCATTCAAGTGGCGTCACTGGGGGGTCATGAAGAATGACTACGTCGGCTTCAACGAGTGAGTGTGCTCTCCCCCCCCCCCCCCCCCTCACACTGTTCTGTTCGACGTGCCTCTGCTTTGCCACCCTCATTTAGCAGACATCTGTCATTTTCTTCTTATTCGGTTGTGGTCGTGTAACTGCGACTGACAAAAATGCACGTGTACAGCAAAGGAGACAAGGTCACCGCCAAGGCTCACGGTGGACAGATCGACATTGAAGGTGTGACGATCGCGCGTGTGGACGATCAGCTGCGACTGCAGGGCGTGGACACATGGTTCGACTCACTGCAGATGTTCCGGCAGATTGCCCCAGATGGCGTGGTGAAGAAGGAGGCCAAGACTGATAACCGCGGCCCGGAAGCGAGGTTCGATGAGGCGGTGGCACAGGATGTCCAGCTGTCGGCGGAGGACATAAGCAAATTGCACACTGATGTTGTTGATAGCAAGAGGTCAGGAGGGTGCCCGGTGATGATGAATAGAGAGTAAGGCAAATGTGGTTGGTCGGGGTGTGTATAGAGACTAGTGAGGCTATGACGTGATGGTCAACATGAATATCCAAGCAAAATACATAAGGCGGCTGAGAGGGAGCTGAGGGAATGATGAGGTTTCTTTCGATTAATAATGAGATACAACGTCTGTCAGCGTTACAGATCCCGTCATGTTGAGTTTGTGTATGTGTCGCTGCAGCCCGCGAGGCTACTGACAGGGTAATCGGCTCCACGTCTATGCGAAGTTCATGGTGTATCCAGGTCCGCGGGCCTGGCCCATGTTATTTGATGCACTGCCCATCTGCGGTAGGCAAACGAAGCTGCGGTGCCGGCATTGTTCCCGGATTCCGCGGCGGGTCCAGCCGTTCTCGGTCTTTGACACCACTCCTCAACTTTGCTTCAAGCTTCCCCAAATATCAAGATAGAGGGAAAAGATATTGATAACGAGGGTCTGAAATTCGCGATAACAAGGTCCAGATTTCATTTTTGATCCTTCAGAATTCGGCTCGCTATCTCTCCGAAAGCCTGCCTATCGCTCTGAACATGGATCATTGATAGCTGCCGATAGACGTGCTGAAGAGAATCGTTCCTGAGTGCCAAGATCTCAAATACAGGGGCTCCTGGAGATCTACAGCATCAAATCACTCATGATGCACTCATTGTTCAACCGACTACCTGGGCGTTGGAGACTTATGAAGGGCATTGACCAATGGAAACCGCCACTTTATTGTACCAGAAATATCTCCAGCCCTTATGAGAGGTAGCACAATGAAAGCCGACTCAAAGAATGCGAACAGTTTCTGTCTTTGCAAGTCTCGTCATTTAGACAGCTCTTGCGCGATCAGTTTCTGGCGGGGACTTCGACCTTGGTTGTGGGACGTACAAGGATGTCAACGACAAGAGGGGTCAAACCACCGGCATGGAATCGGCTCTATCTCTCCATGTAACCTCATATAAATGGTGGATGAGGGGGTCTTGGAAATGGTTTTCCAACTCTTAGAGTTATTCCAACTCACCTTCTTTCAACCGTGTTTCCGTCTGTGTTCGTCGCCATGTTCGCGTCGCATACCCAAGGCGGTTCCTGGCTTAGGGCTGGAGCCATTGGCGCCTTGCTCTTTGCTGCTGCATCGGGAAGTCCAATCGTCGGAAACAGCTCTCTGGTTGTTCATATCCCATCGTACGGATCCTATGTCGGAAAGACTCTATTTAACACTACGTCCGGTTACCCGCTTGCGAGTCCGGTGGACGTATGGTATGGCATCGACTACGCAAAACAACCCATCGGCGACCTTCGTTTTGCTCCGGTCGGCTGGCCATCTTCCTCGAACGGAACAAAGGACGTCACGTCGTATGGCAAAGTCTGCATACAAGAGCCTGGAAACTCAAACTTGGTCACGTTTATCACGACTGCACTGGAGTATGGCGAGGACTGCCTCAACCTCAATGTCTACAGGCCGACGGGCGTGAGCGCTGATGAGAAGTTACCCGTTCTGGTTTGGATTCATGGCGTGAGTCTCGCTCCGACCTTTTTATGACGTATTCCAATTTGATTGCCGACTGACTGGGTTCATAGGGCCTTTTCCGCAACGGCGCTGGCATCACCTTTGACGGAGCTTCACTCGTTGCCTCCTCCCCAGAACCACTGATTGTCGTGACGTTCAACTACAGAGCATGTCCATTCTCAATATCCCAAAATTGAGGATTCTCACTAATATGGACTTCTTAGCTGGCCGCTCTGGGCTTCCTAGCAAACCCCGTCCTCTCAGACCTCGGCAACGTCAACCTCGGTCTCCAGGATCAACACCAGCTTCTCCGCTTCGTCCATCGGTACATCTCCGCATTTGGAGGTGACCCCGAACGCGTCACTCTGGGGGGTAAGTCAGCAGGCGCTCACTCTGTGGGCTTTCACTACCAGAATACCTTCACTCCTGGCGAAGAGCTATTTCAGCAGGCAATCTTCCAGTCTGGCGGTCCAACGGGACGGTCGTTTCCCAGCGCTTCGGACCCGTTAACGGTTAGGCAGTTTGAGCAGTATGTGAGCGGAGTTGGTTGTCAGAGTAATGAAACCGCCGAGAATTTGCTTTCGTGCTTGAGAGCCGTGGATGTTGAAGTGCTTGAGGAGACGGCGACTGCTTTGCTAGCGGCGTATCGATACAACGGCACCCATCCTTTCCAGCCTGTGTCTGGTGAGTATTCCTCATTCTTCTCGACGACTCCGCCTTGCAGGATAATGATATTGAATATGGTAAGACTAACTTGCTTCTCAGATGCTGTCATCATTCCGCGTCTCCCGTCCGAAACCTGGGACTCTAACACATGGAACCACCTGCCGGCGCTGACATCGTTCATCACCGACGAGGGCAGTCTGTACGCTCCCACCAACCTGACCACGGACGATGAAGCATGGGGCTGGCTCTCCAATCTCTATCCCGGGCTCAACGAAAGCGATAGAGAGGTCTTCTCCCGGCTGTATCCGGATCCCGAGACCGATCCTGCAAGCCCTTTTGCAGACTCCCGGGGCCAATCTGCTCAGTTCACCCGACTCACTGCGGTTTACGGCGAAACGTCCTACATCAGCGCCTCTCAGGAGATTGCGACGCGTCTGTCTGCCGCAGAAGTTCCCGTATGGAAACTGCACTGGAACACCAACAACAGCGTGGCCTCATACCTCGGGATCTCGCATGGCTCTGACGTTCCGTATGCCTGGGCCGAGCCGGATACGCAATACCCGCAAGCTGGGACCATTCTATCTAGATTCTACGCCAGCTTTGTTGTTAGTGGTGACCCGAATAAGTTCAAAGCTGCAGGCGCCGCTGAGTGGAAGAACTACCTTGAACCAGGCTCAGACGGTCTAGGGTGGCAGGTGAACGTGAGTAAGAATGAGACATGGCTCGAGAAGGATGACATTCGAAGGGAGGCCATCGAGTACTGGAGATCCATCCCGGAGAAGCTGGATCATTAGCCTGAGTATCAAGCCGTTCAAATGACATATTCTGTACCACAGAGGCCCAGTCGTCTCGAACTGAACAGCTTTTTCTCCTGCTAAAGGTCACGTGCAGCAAACGACATCATCTTTCTTTGATGCTCCATATCCTCTCAGATTTCTCCAGCAGGCGTGTCTGCATTTCCAAAATCTTCACCTTCGAATTGCTGAGTTCAAGGCACGTCTTAATAGGAAGGTACTACTTGCGGTGTCTTCTTCGTTCCCTTTGACGGATACTGGAAGCAGGCAGGAGCAACCAGCCCCTTCCATTTCAACCTCCCACCTCTCTCTCTCACGCCTTCTCAGTCTCGACTCTTTCTCCTCACTCACTCGCCCTCATTTCTCACTGAGATTCCCGTGGTCAAGTTCATTTCTCTTTCATACTTTTTCACTCTCACAACTGTCAACCGATCTATGCTTCGCCTAGCCCCGACTCCAATCAAACTACCGATCTGCCCGAACGAAAGAGCCGGAATTTCGCCAATATAAATACCAATAGCCCACCTCTTGATGACTCGGAGATCATTCTTGACGATGTCTCAAACTCCCTTGATCATGATGGTCTTCGGAGACCGCCGTCGTCTCACCGCCCGTCCAGAAACCTACCATCAACTCATGGATGACGCTCGGAATGCCTTTGGCAGCAAAGCCGTCAACTTGACTGTTCATTGCACTTCGAAGTCTAGAGAACCGGAGTTTGAACTTGATCAGTCAGCATACAGAGCGGTCGAGGACGGTTGGGTCCTTCGCTTGGAGCCAAAGGCTGCTCCGATCATCAAGCTCGAGTGTAAACCTCAGGAGGCGCCCAAGCGGAAATGAGCGTGCTCTGGTGACATCGCCGGGTCAGCCCTGCTGGTCATTAATGTCAATGTCAGGACTTGTAAGTTTTTGAGCACGAAAATGAGAAAGTTTCAGATGGCCAGCTGATACGTTACTGAAGTGACTGGCGAAACCTTTTCGTTGAGGATCTCACCAGCCGCCACCGTCGAAGAACTCGAAACTGCTGTAGAGGCCAGAGTGGGTATATACCCTGAAGAATATGACATCATTTTCAATGGCCTGCAATTAGACTATGACGAAACATTGGAGAGGCACTCTATCACCGACAACGACACTCTCAATTTGATTCGTACGGGGCTCAATCGGCAATCTACCTCTTATTACCATCCCGCTTGAGAGTGCCGTCACCAGGGCCATTTTGAAGGACACCGCCGCAAACATGGAGTGCAGCTACCTCTCCTGGGAAGTCGATGCCTTGGTCAACCCATTACGCGAAGTCACAGAGACTTGTACCTTCAACCCCCAAACCCCTTTAGCATAATTACTTCGCCCACAACTACGTCCTATCCTTCGACGACTTTGTATCTTACCTCAACGAAGCTCTATTGCATTCAACTTCATCCCACAGACCGACTTGGACAAGGCAGCAAAGTCGTCCGTCACTCTGAACCCGAACACCATCGCCGAGGTCTTTCTCGTCTTCAGAGGCGTAGTCAGTGGTAAGAACGAAGATAATCTTGCGAAACTGGCGAATTTTGACTAGTCCAGTATGATCGGCACCGACGTGGACGGGATGGAGGACCAGAGCAAGTTCCGCGTCATTGAGTGGGGAGGCGTGGAGGTGAACCTGGAGCTAGAATAATTGAGACACTCTACTGCTCGGCAGAACAGCATGCCTGATGTCTCAGGGCAGGCCAAACATCAAGCGATTGCGAGCTACAGCAGTTTACGGTCGACATGTGGACTCTGGATGGGGAGGTCTAATCATTTCGAGGTATAATGGTGGGGAGCACGAGTTCATGGATTTGCCTAAGAAATCAACGCGTTTTCTGCATATCGTGAACTGAGAAGGATATGAAAGTATATGCTCCGCATTTCAAAGTCTCCATCTTATTCTTCCGTATCATAACGTATCTGCAATAATCCCGTTCCACGAAGACAAAGGGTAACAGTGCTGCAAGACTTCAACTTTTATTCCACGACATACGTGTACGTCAAAAACCATCGACTGCCAGAGCGTTTCAAACAAACAACAACAAGGCTAGAAGACCGAAAAAGCTTGACGTCAACCGGGGAGCCCCACTAGTTGGAGACGCGCTCGGTGTAGTAGTTGTCGTGGTCGCCGGTGCCGATGGATCAGTGATAGGCGAAGAATTCGTCTCGAGCGTCGCCGCTTCAACCTTGAGGTTCGTAGAGTTGAAGCAGTTATCCGCTGTCACCGGGGTAACCTTGGACGCGTCTTCCGTAAAGATGATATCGACACACTATCACAGTCAGCCACACGATCTCATCTCGCACTTTCCCATCCCAGTAGTGTTGCGCACTTCCACGAGGCATGAAATATTTGGGAAGACGGTAACACTTGGTCAGACAACGTACGCTGAACAACGCCGCACCATGTTGTGCGGCCTCCACGACCTGTATCGACGCCAAGTCGCCCTCCTTGGGCGTCACACCAGCCGGCAGCCGCACCTTTGGCAGGCAGAACGTCCCCTCGTACTCCTGGTTCGAGGGCCCCGTCAGCTGGAACCGGGGCACCACGACCATGGAGTAGTTCTTCGGCGACTCGCCGAGGCCAAGGTTGATGTACATGAGCGCCGTCTTGTGTCCCGAGTTCCAGCCCGGTTGGACGGCGAGGGCGCCGCCGCTGATGGGCCAGTGGGTTCTGTTTTGCGTCACGCCGAGGCCGCCACCTGCGTGGTGAGGGGTTCACGTCAGCCTTTGGATAGCTAAAGATGCGTGCTCTTGTCTTTGGTCTGTGTAGCAAGACGTAAGAGAGCTTGGTGACGTACATGGATAGGTCCATTGCATTCCGAAGGGGTATGTCTCATTTGTGATGAAGGTGTTACCTCTCCATCCTGGGTAGGAGAGAACTGTGTGGCCGTGGGCCAAGGCCACAAACAGCCAGCATGTGGCAACTACGAAGCTGGAAAAGGTCTTCATAATGGACTGTTGATGGTTAAAGTTGGAGGCTCAAGTCTCCGTCAAGCTCTCCCCCCGCAACTGGGCATCCACTTCTTCTTAAGCAACATATCAAGGCCAGAATTAGACACCGCGCAGGTGCTGTGACGTGCCGTTTGCATGTGCCAATGTCAGCAACATGACTGCTGAGCTGCTGTGTGGCCAAATGACGGTGGTCGGTGGTCCGGTCGAATAGAGCCTTGTCGTCGTGATGCATGTCAGCCCTACCAAGGGACGGACGTCGAATGGCTGGAGCGCTGATGGAGGTGGCTTACGCCAGCGTCAGCACCGGCTGACGGCCTTGGTCTTTGAGCATAACTCTAAACTACGCGGCCCGTAATGGTAACGCCTGGGACTTACCGACGACAAAATGTGTATATTTGGCACTACCTAGAAAAAAGCATTCACTTGTTTCGTAAACTCTCCTCGGTGGACATTGATATATGATGACGAACGCTCTGTGTAGCTCTGCATCTATTGGTATGGGCCATCGTTATCTCTTTCGCATGAAACCCAGTTCCCTCCAATGATCAGCTGACCCCGAATGTATCTACACTCACTATGTCTCAAGCATGCTACTCAAGGTAGAAGAAAGTAGACCAAAGGTCAGCGATAGTCGTTGACTTGGGAACGTGGGAGCCGCGCGACTGTCAAGCCCATTTCAGAATATATTGTGCTTCCTAAGAGTGCTCGTCAACCTGCCTCCATACACAACCCTAAAGACGAAGAGCAGGGTAGCTTTCACTCTGTGATCATCATTCCGATTACCGTACGAGATGATATTCATGGTGCTTCATGCCCACCTGAAAATATCTAGCCTTGCCTGTCCGGCGGGTGTCGGCAAAAACCGCCAATATCGGAAAACCGCCAACATCGGAGATCACCTCAGGGGTTTGCAGCATCACATCTCGAGATCCCAACATGTCATGCCTCTCCGACGTTCAAGAAAACTTTGACAGGGCTTTAGGGCTGCACTATTGGAAGCTCTATTCCAAACAAAGTAGCGATACCGAAGTCTTCTCCTCCCAATTCTTCCGCTCGCGGGTGGCGAGTCTCCAGCAGCCTAACAGGTGGTTCTTTGCGATCGAGCCTCATTGCCAAGACCGACCATTTCTTCTGTTGGTTCAACTGTCACCACTGTTTTGACTCGAACGTAAAAGGGATCGACGTCAACAGGCGCGCCCTGTCGGGCATGTCGGGGAAATATTCGCGCGCAGCCCCCAAACCCGACATCATCTACGGAGCACTTACCAGCGATTGACTAACAACGTCAAACAAGAAAAAGGAGCAGACGGTTAAAACCTTCTAAACGTGGTGACATGTCAGAAGGGTGAAGGGCCAGCCGTGGTTGGCCGACAGAAGGGCGCCCGAGATGCCACCGTCAGCACTAGCGACCGTATGAATGCAACGTAGCGAGGCAGTGCCGGATCCAGCCGCGAACAGGGCCAGAAGAGGCTAGAGAGCAACAGAAAGGAACTACTGCAGGTAGCTAGCTGTATGGTAATTAGGTGGCCAAGCAGTCAATGCAGTGCAGTTATTACCGACGGTAGCTGTGTGTGTATCCCTTGCAAGAAGGGAAATTTGAATCGCGGCTCAGCGGCAACGGCTACCGGTTTATCGGCGTTTGCTGTCTCTGAACGTACAAAGTAGCTGACGGGAAATCACTGCTGGATTGCGGCACAGCTAATAACTCTGGTGGTTTACGGATGCAGACTATTGCATGAGACGAGAAGGAGAAAGGAGGGGAAACATCTCGCCGTGACTTAAGCCCAGACTCTCTCTAAGCACAGCTTTGTGTTTTTATGCGGGGAACCAACATCCTTCTGTGGACTTGTGGTTCTGAAAGCTGTCTTATGTACTGCGTACCCGACTGGCCAACCCATCCAACTTGCCATGGTGAGAAGGGATCGATAGAACCGTCAAGTTTGCCCGACTTCACGATCGCAAAGAGTTGTCATGTAAGAGCAACAGGATATTAAACGTTGCATGGATGGTAAAGACCCGAGCCAAATCCTTTGAAAGTTTGAAACCTCCCAGTTGTTGTTTACGTCCCACAACGAATCACATTCCATCAAGCCAACTTGAAGTCTCCATCGCTGGACCCACGCAATCTTAATGGCTTCGGAGTGTTCCCAGAAGCTTCATTGGTCATAAACGATCAGGCGAGCCCAGGACCACTTAACATGGAACCTCCATCATCCATGAGAAGAAGCCCAGTACCCATGATCCATCAAAACGTCCCATGCGTTCCATACTCATCCATGTTTAAGCGAGTAAATAAGGCAGAGAAAGGGACTTTTTGATCCTAAACCAAAGAAAAACGCAAAAAGATATCGGATCGCCATTGATGATTTCCTTTACTGGCATGTTCAGCTCAGACCAGCAACAAAAAAGCCTTGAATCCCTGGCATATTGCAAAAGGCAATCTGCTAGGAACTCCCACCTTCGGGTACGGACAGGGGTTGCCCTGCCGCAAAAACTATCACCCCATGCAACCGTGCGTGCCGCCGTGCAGAGCGCGCGAGTTCAGGTACGGATGGATATCTGCAGGTTGCCGTCCATTTCGAGAGTCTTGAAGCTTGCTCCATCGAGAGCTATGAGTTGTGATGAACCTCGTCCCAGCGGGCCAGCATGTCTCCCTCTTGAGTTCGAATATTTGATACGGTGAATCTGATGTGATGAAAGGGAATGCGACCCTGCTACCTTTTGGAGTGCCGCATTGCCGTTAGACTAAATCTTTTCTCCCTAGCTTCGCGGCTTCGCCTCAACGTGACGCTACGCGCTGTGCTTGTGGCCAGCCGATTCGAGAATTCTCGCCCCCGGCATCATATTCCCACGAAGGAATTGCCGACGGCAGGCAATGGCCGATCATTGCATCACAAACATCTCCTGCCAATATCCCGTTCCATCCCCCTTTCAGGCTTTTGCAGGCAGCAACCGCTAGTAGGTACCAGGACCAAGGTCCACCACTCTACCTAGTCACGACTCACGACTCTCAGCTTCTGCCCGTATCAGGGGCACTGGGGCGAACGACTACTTCGAGTGTAGCCACTTGAGCCACCATCTTGTCTCGGCGGCTCGGCTGGAGGCCACTGACGGGTAGGTACCTTGCGCTAGAGGTCTTGTCGTGGCACACCTGGATAGAGAGAGGCATCGTTCTGTGGTTCCCAGCATCGTTCACAGCTCGCCGGGGCGAGCGTGGGTGCATGGGAAGATGCTGGGCATGCTGGGCGACGTGAATGGAGCAGGGATGTTCATGTACCTGACAAGGGTAGGAGGAAGGATGCAAGGAGTCTACACATAAACTGATAATGACCCCCCCTAGTTGAGGTGAGAGTCCCGTGCACTTCACCCAAAAGTAACGGAAAAATACATACTCCAGGAACCCGAAGACTATCCATAACCCGAATCCTAGCTAATAACCCGAACCCTAGCCGATCCTAACCTCTAACCCTAACCGTATTAGGCTAAAACCGTGCACGGTACTCTCACCTCAACTATTATTTTAACCATATTAGGCTAGAGCCGTGCACGGTACTCTCACCTCAACTAGGGGGGGTCATTATCAGTTTATCGCATCACTCGATGCAAGTGACGGCCGACTTCCTCGTCAATCTTCAATAAAAGGCATGCGCTCCTCCCCTCCAGTCCGCTCATGAATCGAACGCCAAGTGTATCCTGTCTCTCCAACTCTCCCAAGCAGCCAATCCTTAAGACAACATCACGACAACCTACAGTCTTTACAGCCTAAGACTCTCGCTTCCCTCGAAAGACAACGCTCCAAATCTCTTCAAAAATGCAGTCCAAGCTCCTCCTCGCCGCCGCCGCTGCCACCGGCGCAATGGCATTCGAGATGTCCGGCACCCTCCCCCGTGTCCTCCGCCGCGCCGGCAACGACGCCCTCGAGGCCCGCGACAAGACTGCCTGCGCCTCCGTCTGGATGGCCCACTCCACCATCGTCGACGACTTCCCCACCGAGCCCACCGCCCTCGCCACGGAGACCAACCTCGACATCCCCCAAATCACTGACCCCTGCGTCTTCCCCTCCATCACGGGCCAGGCCGGCCAGATCATCACCTCCTACTCCTCCGCTCTCCAGTCCTGGCAGGACGCCCACATCACCGAGATCCGCGACATCTACTCCGCCTGCAGCGACGTCCCGGAGGTCGCGTCCGCCCTGGACGCCTACGGCAGCGCCATCTGCTCTACCGCCCTCGCCGTCCTCACCAGCGGCGATGCTACCGCCACTGCCACCGGTTCCGGCTCCGCTGCGACCGCCACGGGCACGGCTTCCGGCTCGGCTTCCGCCAGTGCCACTGCCTCTCGCTCCGGCTCATCTGCCTCTGCTTCTGGTGCTTCTGCCTCCGGTAGCGCTGCTTCTACCACTGCCGCTGCTGCCGCCGCCGCACCCCGCGAGACTGGACTCTTTGTCGCTGCTGCCGCTGCCGCGGCCGGCATCGTCGGCGCCATTGTCCTGTAAATGGGTTCTTCACTCATGCAACGCCAAAAAGCCCTCCTTGAGGGTCATTGAGGGCCATTGAGGGCCACCTGAGATTAGGGATGGTTTGGCGGGGAGAAACCAAGTGTTGGAAAAGCCCTGGGAAATAATTGCCTATGCGGCGGCCTCCTGAATCAGTCACCATTCTCGGTTTCATCTGTATAACTAATCACTGGGAGTACCTATACCCAATTAGTCAATTCAACAAAAGTTCTTTCACATGCAATTGTCCATCTGTGATGTTTGCTACATGCTGATCTCTGTCCAAATGTAGTACCTGGCCCGTCATTGACTGACAAAATTGTATTCGGCCGTGCTGAAATACAAAATGAGGCATATAGACATGGACTAGGGTGCCGAGGAAGTCGACAAAGAGTTCAATCAAAACTATGCATAATGGAACGAACCGGTGAACAGACCCAACACGACCCGCACAGCATGAGGGTTCCCTGCTCTTGACACAACGCCAACCAGAGAAGGACAAAGCACGGTCTCCTAGCTTGAAATTTTGCAAGGAGTCTTCTTGTTTAATCTTCTGCATGATACGAGATCTGAAGACTTAGACATGTAGTAGCCATGTGCTCCGATTCCCCTGCTCTCTTGGTCACGGCCAACGAACTGAAGTCTCTAAGCAATTGTGGCATCAAGGCCCAACGTCGCCATGCCCAAGACTATCTCCACCGCGGCTGAAAGCCTTGCGTCTTTCAACGCCAAAAACACACCACTCGCTAGCCTGATGCTCCTGTGGTTGTCCGCCTGTTGTTTCGCCTGCCATCACACCTCGTCGGATGACTGACTTCACGCCATTCAAGACGCTCGCGGTGAGCTGGGGGAGGTCCGTCCGACTTTGCCGACTATTGGTCGATCAGAGTCTCTCGAAGACAGGCACTATCCCATCAATAGCAAGGTTTCTATCATGAACATAGGGCGTGTTGCCTAGCATATCCTTCAGCTTGGCGTATTCAGCCAACTACACCTCAATTTGTAGTTGACGCGTCGGATTCGCGTGTTTGGTCTCATCAAGGGCGATGGGAGCCCAGTCTGCAATGTGATCGTGCTGTTTGTCTCTTTGGGCCGTGTATCCTCAAGAGTGAGATACTCAGCCAATCCGTCGTAACTTCATCAACAGCCGTTGCTCATTTTTATCACTTTGACTCTCATTTGCTAATTAAATCCTCCAAGAATTTCTGGTCATCTCCCAGGGTGTGATTCCTTATTACTAATTTCTCGTCTCCTCGCTGCAGAATTGGGTGCGCTGACATGGGGGCGTTTGTGTAATCGATGGCGTTCGAGGCAGCCATAAGGTATAGCCCTCGGTTCCGCGTACCCTTCGCCGGTCGTTGAGTATTCGCAGATGTTAATGCGCTGTTCGAAGTTCCAACACTAGACACAAACAAAGCATCGAGACGGCTAACCGCCAGGAATGTCTCTGTGTTATCTACGGCAAACACGTAAGAAACGCGCCGAAATCCACGATATTGTATATGCGGGACATTTCCATGAAAACCACGCTTTACCCCGAATTACAATCTTCATCGCCTACTGTCTTCACTTTACACTCCTCTCCCAAGCTTCTTCTCGGCCGTGACGTCTCCCATTTTCTTACAGGTTCCTGGGAACCCCACCGCCTGAGAAATGTCAAAAAGAAGCACATATTACTCAGATAATGACCCGCGCGTCAGCTTGAGCGTCCAAAAAGCCGCCGGAGGAGCTTGGAAATCCCGCGCTTTACTTCACTTTCTCTGCAGGAGATCTCTGGAAAACCATTTGCGCAGACCCGACCAGCTTATGACTTCGGCATCCAGCTGATCAAACCACCGACAAAAAAGGTGACCGGTCCATCGACCTCGTTCAAGACAGTGACGAAAGAGAGGCCTTCGATGGAAAGCCAGCTTCGAAGAGACACAGGAGAAAACCATCCGTTGCCGGGAACATCATGCCAGCCGCCTTGGCGGCGAAGAAGCTGAGGCCTCAGCGAGTACGTTACTGGTCCTTAACCGCCCAGCTTGTTGGAGGGATTGTCCCTGTTACAGAAAATGTGAACGTGCCTTATCCCGTAAACGCACCTCTAAGTCTCAGACCGAGTAGATTGTAATGCTAAGCAAGAGGAAAATCGTATATATCAATAACATGTGTGGCGATATAACATCTCATAATGCCGCGCGGAGAAACTGAGCAAGTTGTTGCCATTTTGAATTTGGTATCTTGGTACACTTTGAACTACCTTGGAGATGTTAAACCGCTACTCCCAGAAACCAGTACCCCCCTCGCCCTTTTTGACGGAAACGCCGAAGCTCAAAGTCGAATGCAAGTCACACACTGTGCGTAGAACCTATAGGTACATCTGAACCGTCCGAATCATCCTACGCCCGGCCAACCCAGCCAGCATTGATGAAGAAGTCGAATATGCGGCCGCCCTTCTGAGTGTCTAGCCTGCATATCTCCTTGGCCTGTTTCTTTTTGAGAGTCCCATTGCTCTTCAATGCCTCCTTTAGAATCTGCTCCTTGATCATTAGGTAGGGCTTGGGCTGCAGCCGCACCACTTCGCAGAGCTTGGCTTCCTCCGGCGTGAGGAGATGCAAGTCTGGCGCGCCGTCTTGCGTGAGCTGAATCGGGGTGACACCGGGTAGCGGCGCGGCCATGTATTTCTGCCGTGTAACAGGGCCAGATGGGCCCGTGCCGTTGGCGACAATGACGGTGCCATTGGCGGCTGCTCCGTTGACAGCGCCATTGGTCTGGGGTTTGCTCTCTTCCTTGGGAGGAATGGTACCATTAGTACCATCAGGAGCTGGCGCGGACCGAATTGGCAATTCGGGGGCCACGAGCAAGGCGGCGCCGCTTGGGGGATCTGGTACAGCAGCAGCCTTAGACCGCTGTGCCGAGGCCAAGCGGTCTCTATCCATGGATCCCATAGGCACCGCCTTTTGCGCTCGTTGTGACTTTTCTGTCTCGTACTTTTCACCACTGCGTAAATCTCCGATCCGCACACCTCGCCATTCTTGTAGCTGCGAAATAGCTTGCCTCAAGTTCAACTCGTCAATGAGACCCTGACACAAGCTTTCGAAGTCATCGTGGTTCATCATCCGAGCGAAAGGTTTGGCCTTGTTCAGTAAGTCCCTCTCTTCCTTACTCCTCTTCTTCTCGACCTTGGTGTTTTCGCGGTATTCCAGCAGGTTGTGCTCAAACACAACCTTTTTCCTGTCCACACGCTGCGTGAGACGGCAATTGTAGATGTCCATCACTGTCAACTTGAGCTCCATCTCGGGCTCCAACTCGCCTGTCCTAGGGTTGAGACCATCGCCCGGATCAAACTGCATGAGCTGTACAGCTTCTTCGGCTTCGTTTGCGTATTCGGTCTCGAACTCCAAGCGACCTGGCATGTATCCTTGAATCTCGTGACATGACGGTACAGAGGCTGTGGGCTTCGTCTTGGGCTGCAGCGTAGGTGCGTTCTTGGCGGCTTCCTTCCGCTCCTCTATCCTTCGCTTCTTCTTCGCTTGAAAGTCTTCGCGAGAGATTTCGTTCGCGAGGTCCATATCGTGTGGACTGCATCGTTTCGGCAACGGGAAACGAGGAGATTCGACGTAGGCTTTGTAGTAGTGATCTCGCACCTCATCCTTGTGGCGGAAGCCACCAATATGGTCGGCAATGTCGGCCCATGACCCCAAGCCGTAGATTTCCGCTCCTTCTAGTAGCAGCAGTTCTTCGTCGGCACCCCAATCTCGGTCGAAGATTGGGAAAGAATTTTGTTCGATGACACGGTATGGATGTGATTCGGGTTTATGGTTTGAACTGGACTTTCCCTGGGAGAAGCATTGGACGCAGAGATCGTAGTCGTTGCAGGCAGAGTGCGCGCATCTGATTCGGACCTGCATTTACGACAGATGTTTGTTAGCGCGATGCGCAAGGTGTGGAGGGCGGGACATTTGGGTATGCGCCGGGGCGCAGACGCGGGGCACATCATCATCAAAAGTAATAAAGTCAACAAAACACATACCGTCGAGGTGATGTCTACAGAGCAAATGTCGCAATGATATTTGACACCGCCCTCGCCACCCCTTGTGACGGTCTTCTTTCTGATAACGCCCATTTCGTCCAGGGCTGCGGTGGGGACGTGGAGGCCAGCCCCTGTTCAGGCTGATCCGACGACGGGAGAGTTATTATGATGCAGTAGAAGGCATATGATGGGACTACGGGAAGCGATAAGTGATGCGATGTGACTGGTACGTGGTTCTCGATGTGGATGTGAGGTTTGACGATGATATCGATGGATTCCGGATGACGAGACGCGCGCGTGTTGACGAGGATTGATTTCCAAGGTGAGCCGTCGAAACACAGCCAGGCTCCAATCGAATTGAATCCGGAGATCGATGGCGGAACCTGGAGCGATGGTTCTCCCGAAGTCTATCCGGCGCTCGGGCCTCCGACAGTCATCGCCTTGCTGACCTATGACACTTCAGCCGCAGTAGGGATCAAGCCACACTCACCGCAAACAAATATCCGATAGCGTCTTACATAATACACTCTGGACTCAAGCCACGATGCCCCGGGCATTGCTGTTTTCGGGCTGGACGGCTCCGTCATCCCCGCCATTTGGTTCGGTCGACGGACCAATGCCCGGACTGTCTCTTGACATGCACACCACTTTTTGGCATGTACGAAGTACAGTAGCCCTTTCCACAATACCAGCTTCTCTTCGACCAACTCTCGCTCGTGGTGTGAGATGAGTTCCAGCATATTCATTCGACATGCAATAACAAAGCCTTGAGGAGAAGAATTGCCCTTCTGGCTTACCGAAGTCTTCCCTTTCTCAATGCAGTGTCCCACAATGACGTCTCTGCCGAGGCAGGTTCGAGCTTTCCGCCGCTTTCCCGCCGCTGCTTACTGCGGATAAGATGGCACCGATGGGCGCACGACAATGGTGCGCTTTGCGATGGTGGGGTTCGCGGGGCAGTCTTCGCGGTCCCCTCCTTTTCTCCAACAAACCCGACAGGCATGGGCGCGAAACCTCTCGAGGCAGGGATACGACCGTCACTTTTGATGAGCTGTTTTGTGGCAGCTCTACACCTCCTTATTAATACCTAGCCTGACTGTCATTCGGCAGGTCGCGGCCGAGGGCTGGACTTTTCTCTCTCGTCCGTACTAAGTTAGTCTGAACAATAGCAAGATTGTTTAAATAAACTCGAGGCTCTTTTTTTTCTCGGCCCTTTCACTTCCTGCTCTGGGTCTCGCGGCAGTACTCAGATTTGTTACTTGTTGTCGCAAAGCTTCCCCGCCTTCATTTATACGTTCCACAGCGTGGAGAGGCGAAGCATCACCATGCCTGAGAAGATCCTCGACGACATCTCCCACAGACGGTACAACCCGTTGAAGGGCACATGGCTACTGGTGTCCCCTCACCGAACCAAGCGTCCCTGGCAGTAAGAATGCGCTAAACCTGACTTACAATGCGACATGCGCTGAGGTGGACAGAGGCCAGCAGGAGGGACCGTCTACGACGACGCTTCCTGAATACGACCCAAAGGCATGTTCTCATCGAGTCGCATAGAGTCAACAGGCATGAGCTGACTAGATAAAGTGCTACCTCTGCCCTCGAAACCCTAGAGCGGCTGGTGACTCCAACCCCGACTACAAGAACACCTTCGTCTTTGTCAACGACTACAGCGCCGTCAAGGAGGAGCAGGCTGAGTACCACCCAGAGACAGAAAGCGATGGTATGCAACATGCACCCATTCACAGGCTTCAAGCGAACCGAACCCTGACATTGCAACTCGAGCAGACCTCGCCTCGTCCCTGTTGCGTGCGGAAGCGGCCACGGGCAAATGCTACGTGCTCACCTTCTCCGAGAAGCACCACGTCACGCTCGCCGACATGACGACCGCAGAGATTGCCCCCGTCATCGACGTCTGGACCCAAATCTACGCCTCTCACCTCTCCCCCTCCAACCCGCTGTCCAAGGTCGCCGCCGCCCTCGAGCTGCCCCCCGCGACGCCCGCGAGCACCGTGCCCCAACCCAAGCACCACCTGCGCTACATGCAAATCTTTGAGAACAAGGGCGCCGCTATGGGCTGCTCGAACCCGCACCCGCATTGCCAGATCTGGACGACGTCGACCATGCCTGAGGAGCCGGGTACCGAGCTGGTGCAGATGGGCAAGTACCGTGATCAGCACGCTGGAAGGCATCTATTGGCGGACTACGTCAAGGTCGAGATTGAGAAGAAGGAGCGCACGGTGTTTGAGAATGAGCACTTCCTCGTCGTTGTTCCCTGGTGGGGTGTCTGGCCTTTTGAGGTCTTGATTCTTCCCAAGAGACACGTTCGCGCGCTGGTCGACCTGTCCGCTGAGGAGAGGTTGCAGTTTGCCGAGGCCATTCAGGAGGTTGCCAGGAGATACGACAACCTCTTTGAGACACACTTCCCTTACAGTAAGTTCAGCTTGTGAAGGGCAATATTGAAGATGTCACTGACGACTCGATAGGCTCTGGGATCCACCAAGCACCTCTCGATGCCACCGAAGAAGAGGCCGAGAACAGCTACCTCCACATGCACTTTTACCCCCCTCTGCTTCGATCAGCCACCGTCCGCAAGTTCCTTGTCGGGTACGAGCTGATGGCTGAGCCTCAGCGTGACATCACACCGGAGCAGGCCGCCGCTCGACTTAGGGGCACCGGCGGTGAGCTGTACCGCAAGACCATTTAGTGAACCAGACAAAAGACCATACCATGAATAGTACCATCTTCGTAATTACAACATTTCTAAGCTTTATCTATCCTCGTCACTTCGTGATTTAACTGAAAAGATCCTAAAGTCCCATTTCTGCGCAGAAGCTGAGATCACAGGATGCCTTCATGTGGTATCAGGTTATCGTCTCTAGCGGCTTCCGCAGGCTACTTTTCAACAATACCAACCCTTTACGGGCTAGTAACGTAAAAGTCGCGCACCAATGGCATCCAAATCAAGGCAGTGGTGGCCAGGGTGAAGGGGAAGTATTGCGGCAGACCAAATGTCATGCTCTTGAAGACGAACAACTCGCTGGCAAAGTGACCCAACGCAACAACGTAGGTCCAGATGGCCAGGTCGTACATGTGGGCGTGGTGCAGATGGTACGCGGCATAAAGACGGACGATGCTCGTGAGGAACGTCCAGGTGCCGAAGCAGCGCGCAGCGAGAGGTGTCGCCTGATCCACAACGTCCGTCGCGCCGGCGGGGGCGGGGATGTACTTGTTGACCGAGTCCTCCGGGTTGAACTTGTCGGACTTGGGGGCGAGCTTCGTGTTGCGAACGTATTTACCGTCGTAAAGGCGGCGAGAGTAGTGGAGAGTCAGGAGGTTCTGCGCCGAGTTTCCGATGGAGATGAGAGAGAGCTGAGAGTGTATTGCTGGTTAGTGACATGCTTCTGGTGGGGGTTCAGTTCGTTCTTGAAAACCTTACCAGGAGCATGTAGTAGGGTAAGATACCCTTTGCTGGGGGAAGCAAATCCGTGAGAGACACCATTATTGCTGTATTCAAATCCCGTGAAGCTCAATTGGCGCTGAGTGGTGTAGACTTAGAAAGGAGGGAAATTGAGTCGCAGAGGAAAAGAGTGGACAATCACACCAGCATCTCCTTAGCTCAGCGTTAAGTTGCCCCAAGCTTCTGGTCCTTCGTATTCGGATTGAATCCAAAAAAGAAAAAAAGAAAAAGAAAAAGATGGAGAGAATGTTTTGTGGCTGGAGCTATCGCATTGTGGCTTGACTTTGGCTCATCAAAGCTGGCCAAAGCTCTCCGGCAGCTTGGCGTAGGTTCAACAAATGAGGGAGGTGCCGAGGTGTGGCTGATGCGATTTTGGAAGTGCATTTTCCACCATTCGCCCATCCCAACATTTTGTCTGTGCTGCTGTGCGAATTCCACGGAGGATCTGGAAAGCTTCTTCCCCTCCTTTCAGCAAACAGCAAATTCTCGATTTCATTCAGCGAGATCAGTGAGGACTCATCACAATGGGCGGAATCGCCGATCAACTGGCCTATGTGCCGCAACCTGTCCAGCTTTTGCTAGCTGGTATTGGCGCTCTCTTCCTTACCTCCAAGGCTCTGAGCTATGTCAAGTTCGTCCTTGGTGTCTTTTTGCTTAGTGGCACCAGCGTATGTGCTCCCGAGCATCTCGCCCACCTATCATTGATGTCCAAACACTGACAACGAAGTCGCACAGCTTCGCAAGTATGGCAAGCCTGGCACCTGGGCTGTCGTGACCGGTGCATCAGACGGTCTCGGCAAGGAGTTCGCCTACCAGCTCGCCAGTAAGGGCTTCAACCTCGTCCTCGTCTCCCGAACCCAGTCCAAGCTCGAGACCCTCGCCCACGAGCTCGAGGCCAAGTTCGATGGCAAGATCCAGGTCAAGATCCTCGCCATGGACTTCTCCCGCGACGACAACAACGATTACGACAGACTCGCCCAGCTTGTCAACGGCCTCGACGTCGGTGTTCTCATCAATAACGTCGGCCAGAGCCACAGCATCCCCGTCCCCTTCCTCGAGACCGCCCGCAGCGAGCTCCAGAACATCGTCGCCATCAACTGCCTCGGTACCTTGAAGACCACCCAGGTCGTCGCCCCCATCATGCAGCAGCGCAAGCGCGGTCTCATTCTCACCATGGGCTCCTTTGCCGGCTGGATGCCTACCCCTTACTTGGCCACCTACTCTGGCAGCAAGGCCTTCCTACAGCACTGGAGCAGTTCTCTCGCGGCTGAGCTGAAGCCGCAAGGCATCGACGTCGAGCTCGTTCTCAGCTACCTCATTACCACCGCTATGAGCAAGGTCCGCCGCTCAAGCGCCATGATCCCGACACCCAAGAACTTCGTCCGTGCCACTCTCAGCAAGATTGGCTCTGGCAGCTACCAGAACTTCGCCTACACCTACACTCCTTGGTGGACGCACGCTCTTATGCTGTGGGCTGTTGAGAGCACCATTGGTGCCGCCCACCACCTGGCCCTTTGGTTCAACCTGAAGATGCACGTTGACATTCGCAACCGTGCTCTTAGGAAGGCGGCTCGCGAGGCCAAGAAGCAGTAAATGGAGCAGAAAGTATCATCTGTTGTGGTCGATGAGTCGCGCAGTCTAACACGCTATTGCTTTTAAAGCTGGCCGAAGTGCCGTGCCGATATATGGGCGAAACGAAGCGCCTAAAGAAGTTTCATTGTGATCTCTTGTGAGATATGAAGCATGGATGAAGAAAGAACATGTAGATGAGAGGTGAATAACAGTGGCTTGGGCTCAGGGTGTAGTGGCCATTTGCATGAGGTATGTAGGGATCACGGCTCGGGTCACGGTTTCGAATGGACTAGAATAAAAAAGCGAGTACTTAATATGAGAGAGAGAGAACCCGTTCGAGATGAAGGAGATTTAAATCAACCAAAGTAAGGTACCTGAGTTTAGTACCCAAAGCTCGCAGAGCTACTGCAAGCGCAAGCTTCGAGTGGTGCAAACGTCAGGGTCAGCCTTGTGTCCCAATGTGGCTTAGCGCGGCTCCAGGCGCGAAAATTCCAAGCGTTTGGCGGCCCCAGCCTCTTGAGCTCCTCCAGAAATTGTTTACTGATGCGTTGTACTGCCCTCGCTCGAATTACCTTCACCTTTCCACACCGAGCCATCGAAGCTCCAATTCTTTTCATTCCCTTTGTCCGGCACGAGCTGCGCAAGGCTCCGCATCGCACACCCCTAGAAGAATATTTTCCACTTCTCGAATCCTCCAATTGACAGGATCACACCTGCCATCACCTGTTGATGATTCGGTAGCGCGACTCCAAACCGCCTTCACTGGCCGCCAGTTTGCGACGCGTTTGCCCGCCTTTCACTACCCCGATCGATCGAACTACTCGACGACAACATGTCCTACCCCCAGATGACGCCGATGCGGCCGGTGCCAGGCGCCTTCCTCAACACGCCCGCAGCCTCCAGATTCGCCAACGACAACGAGCCGGTTAGACGACGACTCTTTGCGGAGGGCGAAGCACCTTCAAGCAACAGTGGCGCGCTGGTGGCAGGATCAAATTTGGCACCCGCGACGGTTGCATCAACCAGCACAAGTGGAGGATTGGTGTCGACCTCATCTGCTCCGGCTCCCCAGCAAAACCTCCCGCCCGTCACGAGAGCAGCTCAAGCGGTCAACCAGTTCCTCCAGTCCGACGAGAACTACCCCGAGCTCGATTCCTACTGCAGGCGTAAGTTCACTGCTCTTGCCTTTATCTAACCTTTCGCGCGACGGCTACTGACATCCACATAGCAGGAGCATCGTCAGACTATGACTTCAACACGCTCGACTCGCCCTGGGCGCCCTTCCACAAGACCCAGATGTACCCGATCCCGAACCAGGTTTTCAGCCACTACAATACCGGCCAGCTCCAGACGTTGATGGGCTTGTTCGCCGAGATCAACCATGCCTGGGTGGTCATCGACAACTCACTATTCCTATGGGACTACACCCACCCAGATCCCGAACTTATTGGTTTCGAGGACCAACCGCACACGATTCACGCCGTTGCTCTCGTTGCACCCAAGCCTGGCATTTTTGTCAACACCATTACGCACATTCTAGTTGTTGCGACGTCGTCTGAGATGATTCTCCTCGGTCTTTCTGCTGAAACCACGCCATCGGGGACCAAGACCGTTTCGCTTTATAGCACCAAGCTTAACCTCCCTCTCCGAGGCACCGATGTCAGAGTTATCGCTGGCACTGCGGACGGCCGCATCTTCTTTGGAGGCAGTAACGACACCGATATCCACGAGCTTTACTACCAGCAGGAGGAGAAGTGGTTTTCAAACAGATGCGGCAAGATCAACCACACCAACCCAGGCTGGTCTTCAGTCGTCACTCTCCAGAGTGGGTTCTGGGCACAAAAGTCTCCGGAAGGCCTTCAGAGCATTGTGATTGACGATTCCCGGAAGCTCGTCTACACACTTTCGACAAGATCCACCATTCGTACATACCACATGGACGGGCCTAACAAGCTCACCAAGGTCATCGAAAAGGAGCGCAACGCCTGTCTACGCGACATCACCCACATGATTACTCAGTCCCCTCTCCTCAACGACCGAACTGCCTTTGTTGCCATCAGCGCCATTCCATCACGAGAGGCGTCGAAGCTGCACCTTATGGCTCTTACCAATACTGGCTGCCGTCTGTTCCTTAGCGCGACGAGCTCTGCTTCGTACATGATTGGTGGCGTCTCTTCAAACACGCCCCCTCAGAGCATGCAGGTCCAGTTCATCAAGTTCCCCCCGTCGGACAAGCCTGGACGATCCGGCACTAACAGCGCTGGTGATGCGGTTATCGATCTTGGCTCAAAGGCCCTGGAGTTAAGTAGGCTTGGAGCTCGATTCGCGCCAGGATACTTTTTGGATTTCGTCGTTAAGGACAACGATCCGAACATCGATCTCCTCTTCGTTTCTGCTCCCGAGACTGGCCGAATCAAGGCCAACTCGTCTTCAGCTGCGCTCAAGTACTACGAGCACGGAAACTGGATCGATATTGGAAGCAGAGCCGAAGATGTCGGTTTGGTGACCAAGCCGTTTGCCGCAGCAAACCAACCCGTTGGCTTTGGAAACGAGCTTGCGGTTCAGTTCGATCAGCCGGCCACCGAGTTTGCCGTGCTGACCAATACTGGTGTTCACATCATCCGCCGCCGCCGGTTGGTAGATACTTTCGCTGCTGCCATTCGTGGTGCAGTGGGAGACGAAGGTCTGGAGCTGGAGACCCGGAAGTTCATTTCTCGGTATGGCCGCGTGGAAACCATCTCCTGCGCTCTTGCTGTAGCTTGCGGTCATGGCGGTGATGCTAGGCCCGGCGCAACGCGCGCAATCGATCAGGCCACAGAAGACCGCGCAAGGACTGTATTCGTCGACTACGGTGGCCAGCCCTCAATCACGGAGGCCGATGGTACCCCTCTCAACACAACCTCCGTTCGCCTGTCCCCGAGGCACGATGCTCTCAGTGTTTATCTCACCCGCCTCATTCGCACATTGTGGAAGAACCACGTGGTCGCTCTTGCTGCCAGCCCTACCGGCGGCGTTGCGATTCAATCCATGGTACCCATCGCAAAGCTTCACTCCACTCAGGAGCAGCTGGAGCGTCTCCGGAGATTCCTTGATGCAAACAAGAGTTTTATTCAGGGCCTGTCAGGTCCTTCCGATCTTCAAAGAGTGGCCAGCAAGCAAGAGGAAGTCGCCCTCCAGGCAGAGCACCAAGCCCTGCATGCACTTCAGAAACTGATGGAGAGCATCTCCGAGGGCATCTCGTTCGTCTTGATGCTCTTTGACGAGCGTGTCAGTGACATCTTCACGAGACTGGATGCGACGGCGCAGCAAGGACTGAAAAATCTCACATACGAGAGCCTATTCTCACAGTCTTCAGGCAAGGATCTTGCCAAGCTGTTGGTCAAGTCCATCGTCAATCGCAACATTGAGAGCGGTTCCAACGTCGAGACTGTCGCGGATGCTCTTCGGAGACGCTGTGGCAGTTTCTGCAGCCCCGATGATGTTGTCATCTTCAAGGCTCAGGAGCAGTTGAAGAGAGCGTCTGAGCAGCCGTCCAACAGCAACCAGTCTCGCGCGCTTCTGCATGAGAGTTTGAGGCTCTTTGAGCGCGTCGCCGGTGCTCTTTCATTTGCCAACCTACATAACGCCGTCTCGCAGTACATCGACCTGAAGTACTACGCCGGTGCAATCCAGCTCTGCCTCACTGTTGCCCGTGAGAAGGATAGAGGCAACACCGCTCTGTCATGGGTCCATGATGGCAAGCCCGCTAACGACCCTCGGGCTAACGCCTTCTCGGAGCGTAGGAAATGCTACGAACTAATTCACGAGGCTCTTCAACACCTGGATGCCGCGTCAAGCAGGGAACCGGAGACGATCGACGGTAGACTGACTTTGATGGGCACTAAACGCCTCGAGGCCTATAGCGTAGTGAACGACTCGGACGACGAGGTCTTCCACTTCGACCTTTACGAGTGGTACATCGAGCAGGGGTGGACTGACAGAATTCTTGCTATCGAATCACCACACGTCATCACATACCTCCAGAGTCTGGCGAGGAGCAACGTGAACCATGCCGACCTTCTCTGCAGGTTCTATACCCAACGCGAGCGGTACTTTGAGGCTGCTCAGGTCCAGAATGATCTTGCCCAATCAGACTTCGCCATTGGTATCAAGGACAGGATTATCCTTCTCAGCAAGGCCAAGGCGAATGCCAGCGTTGCTACGGCAGGTGTTGGCAGGCAACAACAGCAGGTTCTGGCCCACGAAGTCAGTGAGCTTCTCGACATTGCCAACATCCAGGATGACTTGTTGGAGAGGCTCAAGGCCGACAGCCGCGTTGACCCTGATCGCAAGGCTCAAATTGAGGAAGCGTTGGATGGTCAGGTGATAAGCTTGTCAGACGTGAGTACCCCAGTGTCGCGGTCAGCTTTGCAGTGAGACTAATATTTAACAGCTGTTCAACCAATATGCCGACCAAGCGAATTACTATGATCTGTGCCTCCTCATCTACCACAGCGCCGATTACCGCAACCCCAGCACAATCTCCCAAACATGGGTCAGCCTCATCGAGCAGATCCACGAGGAGGCTGTAGAGCGAATGGAGGAAGCTGGTCCCGGCATCCCTGTTCTGCCCTCACCCTACGAATCTGTGTCAGTCAAGGTACAGAACATCGCCCACCGTACTTCTCTGGATAGCTTCATCTTCCCGGTGCCCGTCCTGCTTCCCGAGATTTGTCGGTATGCCGTTGAATACCACCAAGATGCTGAGATCGGTGCGGACCCCACCTGGCCTGTGCAGCTCTTCCTCAGCCTCGGTGTATCCAATGACATGGTCACTCGCGTTCTCGAGAGCGTTTTTGATACCCAAGACTATGGCTTCAGTGGTAACAACCGCAACCGCATCATTGAGCTCATTGTTTTCTCTGTTGATGTTTGGCAACGCGAGGTCAAGCGTCGTGGAGCTGCCTCGATGAAGGGCGATGGTGCCCTTGGTGCGTGGGTTAAGGACCTGCTCAGCAGATGCGAGGCATCACTGCCCCCTG